TAAAAAAGATTACAAAGATATCATACAAATTACCCAACTCTGTCAATTTGTCTACGAATCTTCTGTAACTCTTTCTCCACGACTTCGTCTCGGAACAGATCAATCCTGAAGTTGATTCCACAACCTCACTTACATATAGAATCAAACGCCTTTTGAAACTATACGCTTGAATCTTCGGAATCTACCGAAGAGAACTCTCTCTTGAATTTAAAGTAACCAACTCCTTGATGTATGTATTTTAGAACATGAGTGAAGAACTCTTCTCAAAACATCAAGGAAAAACTCATCAAAACTTCAGAAGAAAAACTCTAACAAAACCCTAGGACTCTTGAATAAGATCTAGGAGAAAAAGTAGTCCTAAAAACAACCTAACAGATATAAATAGGAATCCTGAATCCGCGATCTCCGCTCGAGCGCCCAACATCCCGCTCGAGCGGCTTCAACAAAATACGCGTGTGATAACACAGTGATCCGCTCGAGCGCTTCATGACCCGCTCGAGCGCAAAATTACGCACTCCAGTACTTTTACAGACCTGTCAAAATACTGAGAGACCACAAACTCCGCTCGAGCGTAAATGTCCCCACTCGAGCGGGAAGAACAAAAACATAGAAAATAAACAACTTTAACCACACAAGGTTTTGTATCCGGATTTGACAATCAAGGGACCTAACAGATATTATTATTTTAGTAAAATATAGACTTTTTTTAGTATGTTTATATATTATATATATAATGGTATAATCAAAATTTTAATTTTAACTTTGGTCTCACATGCAAGTATGAATTTATAAATTTTTTGGCTCGTTAAGGCTCGAGCTTGAGTCGAGCCTAAGCCAACTCAGCTCGAGCTTAATTCGTTAAATTTTTATTCAGCTTGAGTTCATTCTCGTTAAAATCTTAATAAACAAATTTAAATATATTAAAACTCAGTTCGACTCGACTCGTTTGCCACCCTACTTAAGAAAATAGCAATAGCGGGCTTCAAACCCATCATGATTCATAAAATATTTGGCTTGCAAACTTATGGACCCAATATTGACGTCATGATACACTGTTTTGGGCCTAGAAATCAAAAGCAGCCTAGGAAATCCATCATGGCATTGGCATGAGGCTGCTTAGACGGTCAGGATCGGGCTGTGACCTAAAAATGCTCACAGACCGTCAATCTCCAGCTTCGTTTTTCCATCCCCAGTGGCCCGTTTCCGAATCCTCCACACCCAGTCAGTCAGCGACTTTATCTTGTACCGGTGAGTTATTCCGATCTGAATTTTATTTTCTCGGTAGTGCAATTCTATTTCCTTTTATAGAATTTGAGATCTGAATCTGTTAGATATATCTATCTGTGATGATTTTGGTAAATTGTTGTTAGGGTCCTTTGCTTGTAAGCAATTGAACCCATCAAATATTGTTGTTTTATTGTTCGTTAATTTTGTCATGCTTCATTAGTTGCAAAGATTTGGAATTTTCTGTGTGCGTGTGGTGTTTTCAATTCATCACTATTTAGCAGTAGTGCCAAATTTAGATTCAGGCAATGACCCAAAATTGTAGAAATTAGCTTCAAAAAATTAAACTTTTAATTAATTCAGCAGAAATTCTGAATGAATAGCATGGAAACTGGATAATAATATAAATAGGAAAATTAGTGATTTTTTTTTTTGGATAAATAACCCAACTTTATTGAGAAAGAATCAACATGATGCAAAGAATACAAGAGCGGCCTCAAAAGACCGACCAAACTAACAAATCAAATCCTCCACAAAATCTATAAATAGGAAAATTGGTGATAGTGAATTTGGATTTGGATTTGGACTAGAGCCAATAAATTAATTAATTGAAGAATTCTTTTTATTCATTTAATGTTTGAAGCAGTAATCAATTGGTGGGTTGAGAAGCCTCAAGGTGTTCAGAGACACGTCTTTTTTGTTTGAAGAAGAAGAATTAAAAGTTGCAATTTATTGATATGGCATCTAGGCGGATGTTCGTTACAGTCGTCTTGCAGCTGATGAAGATAATGATTATGATGCTGGTGGATATGACCCTCGATATGACTATACACCAAAGTCCTTTGACAAAGTGCCTTGGAAATCCATTTTCCTTTCACTTTTCCTACTCTCCTTAGGGTGCATGCTTATCTTTCTGTCCTACTTCGTCTTCATAGGTCACATGGGAGGAGAACGATCCCAAATTTATGGTCTTTTAGGACTTGGAATTCTTACTTTCCTCCCAGGTATGTTTAAAAAATTTGGGCTTGTTATATTTATTGATTTTGCTTGCTAAAAATGATCACTGCTTATATAATGAATTAAGTTTTACCCTGGAGCATCCACATTTGGGCATTTCTGTGCCCCTTTTTTAGTTTTATTTTTTTTATACTCTGGAAAATTTATATGTGCTCCTTGATGAGCCATTCTTTGAATTAAAACAATTTATTTTGACAATTTGAAGTGAGCCTTCCTGTTTGTAAAACATTATTAGCTTGCAAAGACTCGTGAGATCTGCAATACTGGGTCCTCTTACTGTAGTTGTTGGAACCAGCAGTGATGTATATCAACTTAAATGTGAATAGGTTAAGCATATTGCAATTTTATCCCAATTGAAAAGTTAATGTAAAATTCTAAGTGGATAAAGCCTTCTAAGCAAATTGTTTGTTTTTAACTCTCAAGTAGATTTTCTCATATAAGTTGATATCAAGCTTTCCTCAAAGACCTTTGCTTGGTCATGAAATATTTTGATAAATTTTTTTATTTTAAACAAGTCTGGCTCAAAGTAGGAAAGAAAGAATTGAGTACTTTCTCAAAACTCGAAAACAAATTGAGAATTGTAAGTGGTTTCTAAATTTAAGATATGAATTTTCGCGAAGGATTGGCACCTGAATTGCCGAATTAAGGCTCTAGAGATTTAGGGGCACCTGAACTGCCAACTATAATTTGTGTTATAGTATTTGCAGCTTTATGTTAATAGAATACTCTCCCCGTAGAAAAGATGGCATATGAGGGTTGCTTATTTTATTTTATTTTATTTTTTGTGGTTTGCTTCTCAAATATATGTTGTAACACCTTTTCTTTATTTTTACATTTTCATCACCAAATAGCTCTCTATAACCAAATTGCTCTTTGTAATCGTGCACATTATACGTCGTCTTATCCATCTGTCACTGGAGAAACTGCTGATTATCCAACTAACGACTGCAGGATTTTATGAGACTCGAATTGCATATTATTCGTGGAGGGGTGCTAAAGGATATCACTTCGCTTCCATCCCAGATTTTTGAGGACATGCATAATGCATTGGTGAACACTGCCACTTCTGTTTTTGTTTTTGTTTTAGACTTTGTGTAATTAAGAAGGTCATTGTACAAACTGCATGCCTCCATATTTTGTTTGCTCATTATACTTTCAAACTGGTTCTTATTAAAGTTTTGTGTAGTTAGGAAAGGATTGGAAATGCTTATGAGACTGGTTAAATTTCAGCAGTAAAATGACTAATAGTGAAGGTAAGAGAAACTAAGGAACTACTAAATAAGAAGAGTTTGAAAACCAAAGCCACCCAGTACACTGGTAAAGATGGCTGGCTTCCATTTGGCAGGTTCAATAAAGAAGAGGAGTTTACAAGCAGATATCTGTCGTCAGGAATGTCCCCGGGAGCTAGAATTACACTATTGTTATTAGAACATCTTTTTCTGGGCTAGTTTCAGTGCTCCCATCTGGCTCCTGATAATGAGCAGATGATGGAAGGATTTTGTTCGGATTTCAATTGTAAAATCACATTAGTTGCAAGGGAATGTTAAATCCAGGAGCATTATAGTTGTACCTGCATTCTTATCTCTTTTATTCTGGGATCCACTTACGATTATGAGAGGGTGGGGGTATAGATGCAGCCATAAAGTTATTGATTTAGTAATTTTTTAGGTACATTATTTGAGTGGTGGATCTTGATAGAAGCTTAATGGTGGGCAGTGCCCTCTAATTATTTCCTAAATGGGGATACTATGCATTAATGAAAGGTGAAGTAGGTATCGGCATATTGCCAGATATCATAGGGAAGTTTCTAAATTATTTTTGATTTGAAAAATGGAAAGAGAATAGAAACGGTAAGGTTTCAGTTGGATTTATGGATTCAACGTAACTCATACGAGATTGTTTTTTAGGTTTATATTTCAGGAATTTGTTTGAAATAACTTGGCAAATTTATATTTATTTGAAGACCTTGAATGATTCTATTTGTGCAACTGTACTAGGATCTAAACAAAACACCTCTCATATCTCCGTATTCAATCTTGCATTTTATAATTATCAATCTACCTTCAATTGTATGTTACATACTCCCTCCGTCCCAAAATATTAGTCCCTTATTCCATTTTTCATTGTCCCAAAATATTAGTCCCTCTTCAAAAATCAAGTACAAAAATAATATAAATTTCCTATTTTACCCTTCTTTTAAATTAATAAACAACATAAAAAGTACAATTATGCATTGATATTCTCAAAAAATGTACTATCAAAAGGATAATTTTGGAAAATCAACTTTTTTCAAATGCAATAATTGTACTATCAAAAAAAGTTGGATTCCCCAAAAGGGACCATTATTTTGGGACGGAGGGAGTATAAACAAATACAGAAGAAAGTTTGAGCAAAATAGAAGTCTTTTGATTCTCAAAATTAAGAAAAAACAAAGAAAGATCGAGAAGAATATCACTTTAGCTATGCACCAGGATTGCACAATTGTTCCTGTTTGCTGTTGTGCTGTTGTCCAACGCTTTTCCCCACGGGCTCCATTTATGAATTGATCCTAATCTTGTAAGTCATTTCCATATTACATGAATATTATTAGTCTTTCTATCAGAAAAATCTATCTGGAAACTTGAACTGTTGGTACAAAAAAGCCCTAGAAGCCTCAATCTTTTTCTTACACTTCTCACCAATGTATATTGCTATCAGATAATAACAAATTGCTTCCACATCAATATCTCCCTTAGTAAATCCTAAGTAGTCTCTTCTCATGGTCATGGAAAATAAAATTACATTGGTAGTCCACATTAGAAGCATGGCATTACATGTCTCCTGCTATTCAAGAGAGAGATCAGGGAAGGGTAAAACAGTCTAAAAGATAGTTGTTTGCTCATGCATTCAACCATGAACTACCAGTTAATTAACAAAACAGATAGGAGGTAGGTCGAGGGAGCTCCAGAGTGACAATTCACCATCGTTACTAGCAGAAGATCCCATATCAGTTGAACTTTCTTCATTTTTGTCCTGTTTATTCACTTCCATGGCATTGCTTTCTGCTTTCTTCTCTTCTTGGTTCTTTGTACATGCATTCCGGAGATTGGTTAGATCAGACCTTCTGCTCTGCTTGACACTGCCCGATCCAAGCTTCAACCTTAGGCACTCGGTTATCCCATTGAACGCATAGAGAGAAGCTGAGAACTTCCTTTCATATTTCATCCTCTTCATTGCCTCCCTGAGCATTGATGGCTCGTCTCCATAAAATTCCTGCTCCATAGGATCTGTGATCTCTTCAGCAATCTCAAAAGGAGAATAGTAACACAATCCAACTTCATCCATAAACCGGAAATCCACAACCCCTGGGTCGGTCCGCTCTTCTTCACCATCTTCTTCTATTCCCCCTCCAGAATTTCCATCACCACTGGAAGACTGAGCTATATCACTCCAGTTATAGTCAAAATCCTGTTCCACCATCCCACACTCATCTTTCTCAGTTAAACATGACATTAAAGTACTTGTGCTTGTGTAATCGCCAATACTTGCACTAGTGTTGGTGATCATCATGTTGTCTGCGGTGGAATAGTAGACTTCAGGATCATTAAGGAAATCAGTGAACTGGGTTTCTGAAAAATCAGTTACTTCACCTATAAATTCTTGTTGTTGCTTCTGCTGTTGGTTAGTAGGCACACAAGAAGTAGATGAAGCAGCTAAGTGGTTATTTCTTGCTTTGAGCCTATGGAGGAGAAGGTTAGTGATCTTTGAAGGAAGAGCAGGCGTTGAAGTAGATGACGGAGAAGAAGGCCAGAAGTTTGTGCGAGTGTTGGCACCGCGAAGCAAGCACGCAGCCTCATCGTAGGCCCTTGCTGCTTCCTCAGCTGTGTCGAAAGTTCCTAACCACACCCGAATCTTTTGTACAGTATCTTTAATCTCAGCCACCCATCTACCTGATGGCCTTTGCCGTACCCCCACAAATCTCTTCCGAGCTCGTCGGGCCCCACCAAGTGCTGCAGCAGTGGCTGCTTCCTTCATCATCTCATCCCAAACCAAGTTTGCTTCATCAGAATTTCTCTTAGATGCCCCTTCACCAGCCTTTCTCTTCCTAGCCATTTGGATAATCCCCTGTTCTTTCTTTTGTTTTTTTGGCTTGGAATAGTAATGGGTGATATGGAAGATTGTGAAGGTTTACTTTGCTTTCCTTGTATTGTGCTAAGTTGAACACAGACACCTACACATTTATAGAGGGGAATATCCTGTCAAATGGAGAAGAAAGTTGAAAGGGTCTTTAATGCTTGTTCATACTTCTTTGTTCTTTATGGGATGCAGTTTCATATGAAACCATGTGGAGGCTTCTTTTTGTTATGAGAGAGAGAGAGAGAGAGAGAGGTAAATGTTGTGTTGTGAATCTTGTGATGTAACTTAGGGATGCTTTGACGTAGCCAAAGAGTATATAGTGTCTTGCTTTCTCTTCTATGCTCTATTAATTTAAGGCTTAAATACAAATTTTAATTTGAAAAATTCAATCCTGAATTGGTCCTTGCACTTGTTTCTTGATTTGTTACATCTTTTTTCTTCTTGTTTTTGTGTGTGTGTGTAGATAAACACATCTTAAATTGCTTTGTTCGCTTAAGTGATTATTCTATGATGCTAGTAAATTATCTTTTAAATTTTACATAGAAGTCATCACTGTCTTGAAAGGGACTAATTGTACCCTTCTCATTGTCTGGCATACAAGCTTTAGATAAATTATTGAATTGAAACAGAAGGGAGGGACACAAACAAGAACAATGCATTTCAAAGTTTTTCTTGACCAAGTGCATTTTGACTATTACCCCCTATATGCTTTGTTTTAACTCTTAGTTTATTGAGAAATTGAATGCCTTGAATAACTGTTTAGTGGCATGGTACAAATGTTACATTAATAAAATGTCAACCGTGGCACTCTTGGTAAGAGCTGGTTGGGATGGACTCCCTTCTATACTTTCATCTCTTCATACTTCTCTTGTAGGCTCTAATTTGGGTCTACATTAATAATCCGAACCGTTTATATTGTAATTTTCATAATAAAAGTTATTCATACAAAAATTAAGTTTCATTCAATAATTATAAACACAAGAACGCAAAACAATATTTTTTTATTTATAAAAATGATGGTTTAAGCTCACAATCACTTTTGTTGTGCATTTTATTAAACAAAATGTGATTTTTTTTTTTTTTTTGAGTTAATAATTTTCCGATGACACTCATTTTTTGCATAGATGACTTTTATTACGAAACTTACAAAATAGACGGTTTGGATGATTTGTGTGAATCCAAATTGGGGCCTATAAGAAAGGTATAAAGAGATGAGGTATGAAAAGTAATTTATTCCGAATTGGATTTACTGGGATGAATGTAAAATTAAATGATTGTTCTATCAAAATGTTTATTTTCCATGTTTTACTTATTAAAAAATGGGATAATTATTCAATAATTTTGAAATATGAACACGTGATATTCTTTTGTATTATGATTAGTGGGGAAGGTGGATAGGTGGAGTATTGTGTTAGGTGATTAGGGAATATGAGTTGCATATTAAATGATAATTGGTTAAGGAATATAAATACGTGATATTTTGAAAATATTGAATAATTTCTCTTTAAAAATGATAGAAATGAATTAGAAATCATCCTTCATTGTTGTAAGTAGAATGAAAATTCCGTTCTAATTGACTTCCATTGCAATGAACTAAGCGCTACATTGGGGTCTCAAACAAAAACAAAAACAAAAACAAAAACAAAAATGCTTTGGATAGTGAGCCATTACAATGAAAGTTGTAATCAAATGATATTTATTTGTCATTGTCGAAGAGAAACGATTTTAACGAAGCGCCACAACAATAAAAAAAATATGTCCAAGTAGCTAATCCGACAATGTGTTTTCTGAAAGCATTTTAATATTTCAAGGGAGACAGAGAGAGAGAGAGAGAGAGAGCGGAACAACAAAACTCACAGAAAAGGGCAGATTATAATTTATACTACACTAAAATCTGATTAAATTATGTTTTTGCTCTTCCTAGCATTTTCCATTTGGAGTTGTGGATGATGCCCATAGCTTTAAGAAAACAATATATTAGCTTAGTTTTTTTGTTTTTTAATGGTGTTTTCCATAGCCATTTTTATTCCTCCACGTGGAAGTGCAGCAACAAGCCAGAGGTCCCCTCCCACACCGATTCATGATAACACAACATTTGAATTCTATTATTGAGACAAACAACAATGCTTCCGACCCAGTGGCACCCCTAGTGAGGTGTCAGCTTCTTATTGGCTGAAAAAAAAAAAAAAAAAAAAAACAGTTTTTTTGAACCAATCACAACCGACACCCAGCACCCACGGGAGTCCGAAGCATTTTCCTTGAGACAAATGGGTAGCCTTTTTACTACACGACATAACAACATGTTTAGATTTTCAGTCCTAACTGATAAATTAGTAAAGCAACAATGAAGAGAGTGAAAATGGTTTTATATTTTTTTGTTAGAGAGGTTAATTAAGATGTAAAATAAACACAAATAAGGAAGGTCGTTTCCGATCCGATGTACAAAGAAAAGGAAAAAGGAAAAAAGAAAAAAAAAGTCAGTATAATTTTTAAAATGTAAAGACATAATTTTATTAAGCACAAATCTTATCAAATATCAGCATAATTTACCTTGTAAATATCTCTTCAAAAAAAAAAAAAAAAAATTATTATCTATATCTACATGATAAAGCATATAACTAAGAAGGTTTTAAAACTTTTCGACATTTTTCTTCTTATAAAAATACACATATTTTTTTATTACTTTAGAAAATAATTGCTAGGAGTAAAATAGTTATCAAATCCATCTATCTTCTTCATTTATTACATCATTAAAAAAATTTAAACATAAAATTACAATTGCACCCACCACAATAAAAGTATAGATGATAAAGTCATTGTAATTTAAAAAATGTAGAGGGAAGTATTCATAAGTTGTATAAACCTTAACAGCAGCACAAATTACAAATAGATAGAACAATCACAGAATAATTGCACGAGAATATTTTTTTGTTCAACACACATGAAGACTTACGTTAGGCACAATAATAGATTTACATTATGCACGGAGAAGAGTTGTAGAAAAAAAACGTAGAGGGGCCTATCTATAATTTGTATAAATCTTTGGGGCTCTGAATGTAATATTCACTTTTAAAAAACATTGCCACCATTTTCTCTGTGGCCAAACACAATAAATAATCATTCTTCATCGTCGTCGTCGTCATCAGATCCACCACCGGAGTCCGACAATTTTCCCGGCCACCTCCTTCTTCTCCGGCGAATATCAGATTTTTCAACAGTTTCAGGTTCTGTCTTTCTTTCCAATTAGCACAATCCAAAATTATTGTTCTTAATGCTTCGATCGATGGATCGAGCGATCGAAGCGGTCTGTTAATCAAATTGAATCAGAAAGATAATCTCGATTAATGGTTTCGATTTTTAATTTGGTTCATTGGATTTGATTGTATAGGGATTGTTGATTGAACAGAGTTTATTTGAACGCGATGAGTGAGGTATTCGAAGGCTACGAGCGTCAATACTGCGAGCTTTCTGCAAATTTGTCCAAAAAATGCACATCAGCCAGTCTTCTTGATGGAGGTGAGAGGGGGAAAAAAAAAAACCCCCCTCATTCAACTTGGGTTACTTGTTTGATTTAGCTTATTCTTTGGTTTGGGTAACTGGGTACCAATGAAACCCCGTGTAATTAGTGTGTTTTCAAGGCAACAGATGTTGGAATTTTCCTACATATGTTAGTATAATAGGAAAACTCTCTGGTTTGAGTTTAGAAAGATTTGAATGAGGTTGCATATGATTTTGTCAAGTTGTTTTTATTTATTCTGTTTGGGGGTGAACATTGTAAATTTATGATCTGTGGCCCCTTCTCTCATTTATTTATTCTTTTTCTTATCAGGACATGTTTAGCTTTCATGTAAATAAGTTGGGTTAATTTCTTTAAGGATGAAGAAGTCATTTTTAAACATAGAAAGGAGAAGAAAACATTCTAGGGTTATTATATTGTTTAGGGTTTTAATAAGACAAAAAGGAAGTGAGATGATTGACTACAAAATTGTTAGGAGTGAAGTTTGGTGGTCAGACCTTAGTCTATGGCTAACACTTTAACGTTAAACTTGGCATTCTTTTGGATTCTGGCGTGTGAGATAATGATATGGCCTCCTACATTGGTCTTGCCTCTTGCGTATCACAACAAAATAGTCATTCCTAACCTAACAAGTAGATTTGCTGCATAAATGATTTGGAATTGGTATTTCTAATCAATTTCTCACTCCAATTTGTTATGACTTATATACTGTCTTTTGTTTTAGGTTTTAGTAAGCCATGATGCCTCGTGATAGAACGATTATTTATTTGGTTATGGTCTCTTGAATCTTCAACTGTGGAATTGCTCACCTGACTGAACTAAACTTAACAAATACAGACTTGATAATTTGGAAGGAAATTGCCAACACAGAAATGATGCGACAAAAGAAAAAATTCTTTCTAATATTTTTATCTAGTTTGAGGATATTCTAACTAATTATCTTGTTGCCCTCTTTTTGGAAGTTTGTATTTCTCACAACTGGTTTGTGCAGTTAAATATGTTCTGTAACATAACATCCATTAATTCAATAATGGTTAACCTTTTAAGGGTGCAAGCCTTTACGAGACATGACTGATACATTCCCACCAAACCCATATTAAGACTAGTTTCCAGTATTGCCTCTCATTGTTTTGCAGTGAAATTTAGAAGGGTGTAAAAGGGAAAAGAAAAGCAAGGTGTAATGTAGAACAGTGAAAGATTAAATGCCGTTATTTTCTGTAATGGCCAAATGCTATTGGATTGCTAAAGAAAAAACTATGGCACTACAAATTGCAGCCGACACTTCTCTTTTGGCACTACCTAAATCTTTTGCATTATTTGTGTTGGAAATGTATCTGGCATTGTCTTTGAAGTTTAAACTGGTGGATTGGAGAACTGTTGATTAGGTTGTGATTAAGACTTTTTCACAGATGCTTATGTTGAAAAGTTCAATCTTTCTTCTTTTTAAATTTTTTCCTTTGTTATGGACATTTACATATATTAAGGCATGGAACTTATGAATTTACAATATCTCATGACTTGCAGAACAAAAGAAGCAAAAGTTTTCTGAAGTAAAAGCTGGGCTGGATGAAGCGGAATCTTTGGTATCAAAGTGACTTCTTGTAGCCTAAAATGTTATTTTTTTCAAATTCTAGGAGTTGAATGTGGCATTGGCTTCTTGTTTCTCTAGATCCGGAAAATGGACCTTGAGGCACGAAGTTTGCAGCCAAATGTGAAGGTTGTGCTGCTTTCTAAGTTGAGGGAATATAAATCTGATCTGAACAACTTGAAAGCCGAAGTCAAACGAATTACATCAACTAACTTAAACCAGGCTGCACGGGATGAGTTGTTGGAATCTGGAATGGCTGATGCATTAACGGTATGTTATTGCTTGGGATAATTTTGCAGCTCCTGTTTCTTCTTCTCATCAGGGGAAGGCCTGTTTGAAGCTGTTTGGCACAGTATTTAAAATTGGTTTTGAAAATTTCCCTGGAAACTAGCAGTTCATAGGAAACTATTTGAAATAATTTTCACATTTTGATAAATTTGGATTCATTTAAAACTGAAACAACCCATAAAATGTCTGTGTTCTCAAAATTTTTTGTTTTTTAATGATTTTTTTGAAATGATACGAAAAATGCATTTAATGTCCGATTTCCAGGACTACAGAAATTGTATTGTTTTGAACATTTCAGATCCACTAGCTCTCCTGTTTGATTCTGTCAATAATTTTAATTGTGGATGGATGGAATAGGTATCAGCTGATCAAAGGGCGAGATTGTTAATGTCTACTGAAAGAATAAACAAGTCCAATGACAGGGTTAGGGAAAGTAGAAGGACCATGCTGGAGACAGAGGAGCTTGGTGTTTCAATTCTTCAAGATTTGCATCAACAGCGCCAGTCTCTCTTACACACCCATGACACGGTATTACCTGACTAATGTCTATGATTCAATTATCGATCATTTTTCAGTTGTGGTACCCTTTTTCCAGAAACATTAGCGTACCTCCATGTGGGGTCAAATGCACTTGCTCTGTGTCCGTCTTCGTTTAAGACAACTCCACATTTCTAGGAACACAACTCAATTCTTCTGTATTTGAGCTTTTATATAATTTGTGAATCACTGCCGATTTAATGTTCAATGATGTGCGCCAAAGTGTATTTATCTGATGTTTTTCCTATTTCTGTTGCAGCTTCATGGAGTGGATGATAACATTGGCAGGAGTAAGAAAATTTTAACCAACATATCAAGAAGGATGAGCAGGAACAAGTGGATTATTGGCTCCATAATCGCAGTCCTTGTCGTTGCTATCATCTTGATCTTGTACTTCAAACTTTCCAAATAGACAAAATGTCCTTGACTTAGTTTGTGAGTGTTTCGGATAAACATGAGTTTGTTGTTCTCATTTGCTGTTTATTTCTCTGCAACAGTGAGTTTTGACATTCATTTGATCAATAAAAAGAAGTTGTGCCTCGTCTATTTTATTGTGCTCTTGTGCTTTCTTGTGATATTCTTGTTTGGCAACGAGAATTTGGAAAGGCAGTGCAATAAGAGAACTTCTCACCGTCCTCCCCTGGCAATTGCAGCAAAAATATTTAGAGCAATGCTATATCCATTGAATTTTTGCTCTGAATTTGTGTATACCAATCGTTCGGTTGGTCATCTAAGAACAAGGGTGACAACTGCAGTTGACAAAGGTGATAACTACGGTCAACAAGGGTTATCCTAGTAGTCCGACTTACAAAATTTGGACGATTCAAGTGAGCTCAAATTTGGTGTATGAATCATTTTTTACATATTTATTCAAACTCTCTGTCTACCTTAATGTGCTCCATTTTCTATTATTAAAGAGAGAAGAAAAAAAACGGAGGAGGAAAAACTATTCACATTTTTTAATTGTGCGAGGTAAAAAAGGGTTGAATATACTTTCTACAAGAAAAATTGGGCTATTTTTTCTGATTTAGTATTATGTTAATGATATCGCGTTATCATTGATACGTGCTATCATCAATCAATAATGAACTTATATATGAATAAGGAGAGATGTTATAATGTGCACTCTAAAAAAGATGCATATGGTATGCCTTTCATAACTTTTTCACAAAATTTCATAATTTAAACCCAAAATGTCATAACTTTTTCACTACAAAAGTCATAACTTTTTTTCACTGAAAAATGTCATAACAAAATGTCAGTGTTATAACAAAACTCACAAAATGTCATAACATTATCATTCCTAACTTTAGAGTGCACATCATAAATTCGTTATTTATAACTTTACTACAAAATGTCATAATACACATTACAAGCAATCATAATATTCACCATAAAAAATCATAATTTTTTTATAATGTGCACCATTTAAAAGAGTGCACATTATAAATTTCTCCATGAATAGGTAAACTCCATAATTAAAATCTAATCACCCACCGTAACATGATTATATAACTGTTACATATACATGGCCTCGTTTGAGAAGTGGCTATTTTAGTAGGCTATTTGGCTTTTTGGCTATTTTAGTACGCTAGTTTAGTTTTTTGTGTTTGGGAAGATAAGATGGATTTTATTTGAGTTGTTGTATTGAAAAATATGTTGAAATGATGTTTGAAGTTAAAATGACAAATTTACCCTTGACTTTATTTTTTCCTCTACTTTTCTGCACATCTTTTGGTAAAAAGACAAAAAGTGCACTTATTTAGGTCATCCCAAACAATCCCTAAATATAAGCCACAAATTCCCAAAAGTCAATTTTTTTTTTTTTTTTTGAAAATTAATGGTAGGTGTGACTTTTTGGCTATTTTTTCATTTGAGACTAAAATAGTCTCCGTCGAGGCTTCCCAAACCACGCCATAATAAGATTGATCATATTTACATGACAACCTGTCATTGGATGGTGTTATTACATATTGTAATTTATTTATTTTTTGGGTTCCTCATACTAAGCAACTGACATGCACTCATGGGCGGAGCCATGTTTTCAAACTTTTCCCTAATATTGAATTTTGTTAAGAATGGAAGTTTAATTAAGTTGTGTAGTTATGTATATACATATATCTAGTCGCACATGATGGTACAAATGGGGATGTAGCTCAAATGGTAGAGCGCTCGCTTTGCATGCGAGAGGCACGGGGTTCGATCCCCCGCATCTCCAATCTTCTTTTGCATTTTTTTTTCCTTTCTTTCTATATGAGTGGTTCTCATCTCAGACCCATTTGGGTTCGATCCCCCACATCTCCAAGCTTCTTTTACTTTTTTTTTTTTTTCCTTTCTTTCTATGAGTGATTCTCATTTCAGATCCATTTGATTGTCCGGATTGAATATAAGAATTTAAGATATACTATGTTTGGTTAATATAAGATAAGATTTGATTGTCCGGATTTGATATAAAAATTTAAGGAGAATATATAATACTTAAAAAAAAAATGGGATATAATTTGTTGTAAGATATGAAATGGGTTACATATAAGATAAGATTTGATTGTCCGGATTTGATATAAAAATTTAAGGAGAATATATAATACTTAAAAAAAAAAAGAAGATATAATATGTTGTAAGATATGAGATGGGTTACATATATTGTAAGGTCACTTATACTATATTTGATTAATATAGGATGAGATAAGAGAAGAGTGATTATTTTTGACCTGTGGATGAAAGATTCCGTATAATATGGGATAAGAGAGTGATTATTTTTGACTTGTGGATGAAAAATTCCCCATATCCGACAGTGAGGATATACATATCATGGGGGGGTAGTATTGCATATTCACTTTTGCATCATATATTATCCGGCCTCCCTATATCTGGAGCAACTAAACACGAGATATAGGAAAACAAAAAAACATGTAAGAGCCACCTCATATTATATCTGACCCTACATATCTCGACCTGATATACAGTAAATAGAGAAGGGCTTTCTAACCCATATTTTCCGTAAAATTCCTACCACAAACAATAAACAAGAAGCTAGATAGAATATCCATCCTCATACCATAGATAATCTCCTCCTAACCCTTATTTTTCTGTAAAATTCCTACCACAAATAATAAAGCAGATGAATACCCATCTTCTTCCTCGGAATGCCATAGATAAATAATGTCCACAGAGCAGTAAAAGCTCAAGATATTTTCATTGATGTTGGTAACATCCATATTGATAATTTCCTATCTTTGGAAGAACCAAAACTGCCATCACAGTGAAACTTCTTCCTCATTTTTTTGGTTGGGTATAAACCACGCATCTTTAATAAATTGTCCACAGATTGTAAACGCTAAAGAGTGAGAAAAACTTCTTTACAGGATTTCCATGTTCTTTTAGTTCCCTTTTAGGCATCTTTTCTAGTCCTTTAAACTTGGTCTGCCTTATATCCTGCTCGGGGCCTGTAAAACTACTCTAGCTCTCTGAATCTATATCAATGGAGCAAACAGCACAAGTTCAAACTATGGCCTTGAGCTTCTCCCTCTTGAACTCGCTATAATCTTTCAACAACCTACCATTAACTCTATCCTTCATGTTCTCCACCAATCTCTCGAGCACCTGACATAAATGATACCAATGTAAAAAACTTATAGACCTCCTGCAGTTTTTATTTCTAGTAGAAACTATTTAAAATCACAGCGGAGAGTAATTAATGCACAAATGGGTTTGATGGTCTAACCGACTCTGCAATGTCCCGACGAATATCTTCAGGCACCAAAGCAAGGACGGGAGGGAGAACAAAGCTTATGCTCATCTGTAATTGACCTTTCAGTCGGGTTTGAGTTCCCCGTCTCTGAGCGTGCAAGGCTCCTTTAACACCGAGGGAAAATTCAGATGGCTTGACGATGTCATTTAGACCTTGGAGTTCCCACCTTATCTGCACAAAGAACGACTTGAAATGTATGTTAGAAATGCTTGAGAATGAAGAATAGTTCATGCATATTATATATAGCTTGACATTAAATATTTGCATCTTTTTTTTTTTTTTTTTTTTTTTGGTAGACTTACGATGTCAAGCTCAACAACCCTAGTGATATCTTGAGGAACTCCAGGTGGATAATCAACCCCTTCTGATTTACATCTCAATCTCATGTCTATCACTGGCCAGACAGTCAGGAATAGGAACTGTATGGGTAACATTTGGACTCTCCACTCTTCCTGCATGGAACAAATGCCCAAAAACATCACTGATGCACAAACAAACATGAAGAGATAGAGAGAAAGAGAGAGAGGTCCCCCCGACTGAAGATGCCTGGTGCGTACCGAAATGTTGAAATTGACATGAGGGTATTTAGCATAAGTTTCCTGGCATCGCTTTAAGAGAATGATGAAACACTTACCGTGTGAAGAAGCCCTCTAACTAATCAAGTGGGGCAAAACCTTGAAGGTTGCATTTGGATTTGAAATGAATTGGGCACTAGCCATTCAAAGCAGAAAAGCTCAAATTTAAAATCCATCTATCCAAATGGAACCTTAATAAACATCTACAAGATTTTCTGATGAAACTTTGACCTCCGTTAATGCTATCTGATAGAGCATTTTGCCTCACCAATTCCTTTCAAGACAGGGCTTGAAGTACAAATTCAACTAACCAGTGTGTGGGTAGACATATGTTCTCCAGCTTCAAAATTCCCCAGAATTACCTTTCAGTTATCCTACATGATACATCATTGTTGTATGCCATGAAATTTAATTGGCATGATGAGTTAACTCTCAGAAGAGACTACAATAATCAGTGTTTGCTGAGAGGGAGATTAATGATATAGAGTTGAGCCGGACAGATTTGGACCGGACAGAGTTATGCCAGACAGATTTGGGCCGGACAGAGTTATGCCGGACAAGCGCTGGGCCAAGTTGTATGGCCCGGCCGTGAAGAAAGCTGCTTGGTTAAGGCAGCGCGTGAATTGAACAAAGCTGCGAGGATCCGTGGTAATGACGCCGGGGTACCTGTTTGCTCGGCAGGTTGGTTGACCGCGGACAAGCGTGAGTTGTCCCAAGCTCGGCTATGCCGAGATGCCGCCGAGTCCGGTCCCCATCTGAGCGTAGCTGTTGGAATACTTGAGCAAGAAGCGCAGCATGGCAGACGATGGCCGAGATGGTACTGACCGGCTGCCGAGCTCCCAGGAGAATGGGAGGGCAGTTGGGTTAGGTGGTGCCGAGCAAGATTTGTGCTGACAGATGGGATAGCAGCACCACGTGTCGAGAGACGAATGGGAGTAGATTTGGGGTGCAGAAGGTATATAAGCGAATCTGCGCCCCCCATGCGCGACAGATGAACATTTGGTGAGACATACACTAAACACTCAACACTCTCCCTTCTCTCTATCTATTCCCTGCGTGTGTGTTCTAACTTGATCGTCGGGGGGATTTTCCGGCCACACACCGCCGGGTAGCTCATCGTTATTTGCTCGCAGGTGATCGGACAGTAACGGAGCTCAGAAGAAAAGAGTACGGGCTTGCCGGAATATTTGCGCCCCGTACAATTGGCGCCGTCTGTGGGAACCTTGACAAACAAAACCTTGTCTTCCAGGCTCGTCTAATCGCCGTCTACGGCGAACAACGATGAGATTCCGTTGTCTGCCATAGACGAAGCCACCCCGGAGTTCACCCGAAGGAGAGAAGGACCTCCTGCCATCCATCCAATGGCAGACTTGGAGACACCCATCGGAGGACAGTCAGGAGACACGCGGGATAAGCGCGGAAGAAGTTATGGTCATTCACGAAGTCCGGACGGTCATCGGCGGCGGAGAGAATCACATGCCCGACGTCTGGAACACAAGTTGAGGGACCAAGACACTGTCATCCGGCGAATGGCAGCAGAGATGGAGGAGCTCAGGCGGCATGTCAAAGGGAAGGGTGTAGCTGGAGTGGGTGACCACAGTGAGCGCACCCCATCCCGCCGTTCAGGCGGTCAGAGTCAGCGACGCACTCCATCCATTTCTATTACCAGAAGTTACCGGGTTGGTGATTCCGACGTGCATGCAGAGAAGTCTAGCGCGCAAGACAGCACCTACCGACCCTCACGTCCGGCGACGACGTCGAGGTACTCTTACTCCGCTCATTCAGAGGATTTGCGGGCGGTCTTAAAGGAGCGGGCTCGCCGGCGCGAGGCTCAGAGGATACCGGCGTTCCAGCGGCTATCCTACGGGGTTCACGCCAGCGAGGAGGTCGGAATGCCTCCACCCCGCCAAGCAGCGCCACTCCTAGTGGATTCAGATTTGGCCAAGCTGAGTGCCACCCCTTTCTCCCTGGAAATAGAAACTACACCGCTTCCGGCAGGCTTCCACCAACCAAAGTTCACACTTTACGACGGGAAAACCGATCCTTACATGCATGTGAGCCACTTCCGACAGGTTATGGCCGGACATAGACGAAATGACGGACTTACGTGCCTGATCTTCCCGTCAAGTTTAGGCGAGCTGGGCTTGAAGTGGTTCCAGAGGTTGCCGGAAGGGAGCATACAACGGTGGCATCAGTTGGCCGAGGCCTTTGTGACGCGCTTCAAAACCAACACAAAAACACCAAAGGAAGTCGATTATTTACTGAGTGTCAAGATGGAACCGAGCGACACATTGAAGGCATACAACTCTAGGTATTGGGAGACCTTCAACGAGATCTTAGATTGCCCGGTCAACCTTGCAATCACTCAATACAAGCGTGGTCTCCCGGTCGGATACAGACTGCGGGATTCGCTTACCATGCACCAACCGACGTCCATGGGCCAGCTCATGCAGCGCATCAATGAGCACATCCGAGTCAAGGATGATGCGTCAGCATCTACCGTGAAGGCAACTCCGATAGCAACAGACAAGAAGACAGCAGGCAAAGTGCACGCAGTTGGGCAAGAGTCCAGCCGCTCAAGTGACTGCGCAGAGGAATCGGACCGTGGCTCGAATCGCAAAAATCGGGGTAGAGGACGTCGGAATGACCGGGATGACTACCCCCGAGATGACGTAGCAGATGCAAACAGAAGGTTGAAGGCAAGGACTAGCATAACCACGGTCTTCAAGATTCCGATCTATCGCATACTTAGTGAAATCCGAGACGAGGAGTATGTCCGGTTTCCTGCTAAGTTGGGCGATGGACAAAAGGGCTACAATCCTTGGTATCGTTGCACGTTTCATCGGGAGCGAGGCCACCAGACTGAGGATTGTTTGCCATTGAGGCAACATCTGGAAGAGCTAGTCGCGGCCGGGCACCTGGATCTTTACATTGATGGAGGCGTTAAGGCAAATCAAGTTCCGGTTGATCCGCGAGGACCGGATGACCGAGATGCGCCTCCTCAAGGGGTTGTGAATATCATCCACGGCATCGTGGAACCGGCGCGTGTTTGCGAGCTCCGTGGTATGATCAAGAAAGCAGAGCACATGAGGGTCAGTTCAGCCTGCGCTCAAGAGGGGGAAGACGGAAACGAAAGATGTGATCAGTTTCTCCTCAAGGGACTTGGAGCGCATTCAGACACCGCATAATGACGCCTTGGTAGTTACACTCCGCGTCAAAGACTTTGAAGTGAAACGGATCTTGATCGATCAGGGAAGCTCGGTCGAGATCATGTACTACGATGCTTTCCAACAGCTCAAGCTCCGAGATACGGACTTGGCCCCGGTGACATCGCCGTTGGTTGGTTTCAACTCACAACCAGAGTGGCCTTTGGGAAAGATTATCCTGCCAGTTAAAGCGGGATCCGTGGTCAAACAGGTGGAGTTCTGGGTATTACAGGTGCCATCTACTTACAATTTAATCCTTGGAAGGGGGTGGCTTCACGCTATGCAAGCCGTGGCATCGACTTTCCACCAAGTAATGAGATTCCCCTCGGCTATGGGGGCAATCGAGGAGATTTGGGGCGATCAGGTCATGTCAAAGCAGTGCTTCGTGGCGGTCAACGGGAGCCGGGCAGCCAAAGGACTTGTCCAAATGATTGAGGGACCGGAGGACCAGGGTGTCTTGGATGATGTGGGCACCAAGGCCGAAGACAAAGCTGTCGAGGAATTGATGGAGGTGCGAATTGATATAGAGCAGCCGGACAAGTTCTTCTTGCTTGGCTCAAGCCTTACGGCCATAGAACAGACCGAGATGGTTGAGTTTTTGATGGCCAACATCGAAGTTTTTGCATGGTCGCCTTACGACATGCCCGGCCTCGATCCTAGTTTTATTTGCCATCATCTCAATGTCTTCCCCGGTGCCAAGCCAGTCATTCAGCGAACAAGGAGATCGGCGCTGCATCACGCCGAGGTAGTTGCGGAAGAAGTCAAGAATTTGCTAGAGGCACGAGCAATTCAAAAAGTACACTATCCTCAGTGGATCTCAAATACAGTGGCGGTACCGAAGAAAAATAGGAAGTGGCGGGTTTGTGTTGATTACAAGACCGTCAACCGAGCTTGTCCGAAAGATAGCTTTCCCTTGCCTAGAATTGACCTGCTTGTGGATTTGACGGCTGGACATAACAGACTAAGTTTCTTGGATGCCTACCGTAGCTATCATCAGATTTCCATGCATGGCCCTGACTGAGAAATTACCTCCTTTACTACACCAAGGGGACTCTTTTGCTACCGAGTCATGCCTTTTGGTTTGAAGAACGCCGGGGCGACTTTTCAGAGGATGGTGACCAAGATGTTTGCTCCTTTGCTGGGCCGGACAATGGAAGCCTACATTGATGATATGGTGGTTAAAAGCCAGCATCAGGCAGATCATTTGTCCGACTTGGCTGAGATGTTTGCCATTCTCAAAAAGCACAAGCTACGCCTGAATACGTTTAAGTGTGCCTTCGGCGTGGGATCTGGAAAATTTTTGGGATTCCTAGTCACGAACCGAGGTATCGAAGCAGACCCTACACAAATCCAAGCCGTGCAAGAGTTAAAACAGCCTAGCTCGGCAAAAGATGTGCATCATCTGGCCGGAATGGCCGCCGCGCTTAATCAATTTATAAGCCGGTCGTCAGATCGCTGCCGCCCTTTCTTTCAGTCCCTAAAATCTAAGTTCTCCTGGGATGAGGAGTGTGACCAAGCCTTGGCCGAGCTCAAGGAGTATTTGTCTTCAGCGCCACTGTTGGTCACACCGGAGCCTGGAGAAGAGCTTTATCTTTATTTGGCCATATCACAGCATGCAGTCAGTGCGGTGCTTGTCCGGGCTGAAGGAATCAAGCACCTCCCCATCTTCCTATGTTACATGGACTCTTCAAATTAAATCAAATACCCGTGTCGGACACCCGACACTCGGACAAGGGTATGGGATATGTGTCGGATACTTTTCAACGGATACTTCTTATATAATTGTATATAACACTATTATTATATGTATATATTGTTATATAATTGCTATAAATGTCATTTTGACACTAAGTTAAATATAATACCATTTTATCTCACATATTAGATTAAAAATATAAAAATATGACCTTTTTTGCCGAGTCCGCGTATCCTTAAATTTATGATTTGATGAGTCCGACCTCTAGATACATACCCGCACCCGACACCCGTACCCGAGTCCATGTAACATAGCCATCTTCTATGTTAGCAAAACTTTGCTACCGCCAGAGTCGAGATACTTGCCGTTGAAGAAGCTTGCTTTGGCATTAATGATGGCTTCAAGAAAGTTGGCACACTATTTCCATGCACATACCGTCATCGTCTTGACCGAATTCCCCCTCAAAGCTTTATTTGAGCGGGCAGACTTCTCCGGTCGGATTCTTAAGTGGGCGGTCAAGTTGGGACAGTTTGATATGAAGTTCCAGCCGCGCACTGCCATCAAAGCCCAAACTTTGGCCGACTTCGTCGCCGAATTCTCGCCTGGAACTCATCCGGTATGCCCGGTCGATATTACCGCGGCAGATGATGAGGTACACGCAAGACCATCCGGGATACAATAGGTTGGTGGAGGTAGCGATGCGGAGTTTGCGCACACCACTGAAGCACCCTCAGTCTGTACGGTTTTATCACCCGGTAATGCAATGACGGAGTTGAATATCACCGACCAACCAGCTCTGTCCGGTCCCACATCACCAAGGAGGGAAGAAATGGAACCACACAGCTCAGAGCCTGCGGCCGGCATAATACCGCAACCTGGTGATTCGCCTACGGACTTGAGCATTGCAGATCAACTTGCTGAGTCCGGTGCCAAATCGTCAAGGGTGACTGAATTGGAACTGATCAACACAGAACTTGAAACCGCACAGCCGAGCAGTCGGGATTCCATCAACCTTCAAGCTTCTCAAGACCCCTCAGAATGTTGGAAGCTCTTTGTGGGGGAGATGTGGAAAACTTTTATTGATGGAGCCTCGAACCGTCACGGCGCCGGGCTTGATATAGTTTTGATATCGCCAGACGGGTTGACAATTGAACACTCTATCGCCCTTGGCTTTCCAGCATCCAACAACGAGGCTGAGTACGAGGCGCTTTTGGCCGGTCTCAAAAGCGCGCTTCAGATGCAAGCTTCCGAGCTAATGGTGTACAGTGGTTCCCAGCTTGTGGTTAACCAAGTCGCTGGGATTTATGAAGCAAAGGATGACAGAATGGCAATGTACCAAGCTTTGGTCAAGGAACGCATCAAGCAATTTCAGGCAATCAGAGTTCAACAGATTGGCCGAGAAGAGAACAACCGAGCTGATGAGTTGGCCGGCCTCGCCTCAATGGTTGATTGCGCATCTCCTAACCCCCTGTTAATTGAATATCTTCCACAGCCGAGTATTGAAGAAACCAGGCAGACGGAAGTACTCTGTGCCGAGCTAGGTCCTTCCTAGATGGACCCTATCGTCATTTTTCTCAGAGAACAGACTCTTCCAACCAACAAGAAAGAAGCACACAAAGTGCGTGTAAAGTCAGAGCGGTTTTGGCTCTCTCCTTCAGGCATTTTGTATAAAAAGTCTTTCACCGGTCCATACCTGAGGTGTGTGCACCCGAGTAGCGTAGAAACCTTCTTGTATGAAATTCACGAAGGCATCTGTGGCAGTCACATAGGGGGCAGGTCCTTGGCCTACTGCGCTATTTCGCAAGGCTATTGGTGGCCGTGCATGCAAGTCGACGCCCAGAAATATGTTCGCAAGTGCGAGAAGTGCCAGAAGTTTGGGCACCAGATTCACCAGCCGGCCAGAGAACTTGTTCCCCTAACCAGCCCTTGGCCTTTTGCAATGTGGGGATTAGACATAGTGGGGCCGCTCCCGACAGCTCCAGGCAACCGGAAGTTCTTCATCGTGGCAACCGACTACTTCACCAAGTGGGTTGAAGCCGAGCCTTTGGCAACAATCAAGGAGAAAGACGTGAAACGGTTTGTCTGGCAGAATGTGGTAACACGGTTCGGCGTCCTTAAATTTTGATCTCTGACAACGGCACCCAGTTTGACGGTCGTCTATTCAGAGGGTTTTGTGAAGATTTGAAGATTGAATTCTACAACTCCACCCCGGCTTACCCACAGTCCAATGATCAAGCCGAGGTGTCGAACAAGACCATTCTTGACGGGCTGAAGAAACGGCTGGAGAAGGCGAAGGGGAAGTGGGCTGAGGAACTCCCCAGCGTCCTCTGGGCATACCGTACAACCCCTCGGAGGTCGACCGGGGAAACTCCATTTGCTTTGGCTTATGGCATGGAGGCGGTCATTCCATTGGAAGTTGGCATGCCCACTCTCAGAAGTGAAAGTTTTGAGCCCGAGCTGAACGCCGAGGCCATTGCTCTGGAATTGGATCTGGTGGAAGAGCGCCGGGAAAAGGCTCTTATCCATGTGGCCGCCTACCAGCAAGAGCTCTCCAGGAAGTACAACAAGACGGTGCACCCCAGACCGTTCAAGGTGGGTGATTGGGTCTTGAGGAAAGTTATGGGTAACACCCTGGTGCCAGGTGAAGGCAAACTAGGGGCAAATTGGGAAGGACCCTACAAGATAACCAGTCTGGCGGGCAAGGGGGCATACCACTTGGAGGATCTCGATGGTAGAGGTATACCCCGGCCATGGAATGCAGCCAACCTCAAACTGTACTATTTTTAGCTTCTGTTTTCTTTTTTGTGCAAAGAAATTTTTTGCGCAAAGAAATTTTTTGCCTTACACTTCAGAATGTAATTCTTTTTGTCAATATAGCTATAATGAGAACCCAAGTACAGTAATACCCAGAATGTGCCTTACACCTCAGCTATGTCTAAGAGTTGAGAATTTTACAACTCATTTGGAAATCTACATTACAGTAATACCCAAAACAAGAAAGCCTTCCCCAACTGCACATCCAATTGGGCATGATGATTTGACTGATGTGAGGCCTTTTTTTTCTTTTTTTTTCTTTTTTTCTTCATATTTTAGATGCAATCGTATAGAGCATGTGAAGAGATCACCACAAACATATGTTCAAACACAGTTTTGGCATCTCAACAGGAGGAAAACAAAAGCCAAGCAATTGAATCGATTCCACAGTGTTAAGGACTACAGAGCACTCTGTTTACCATGGGTGTTATCTATGAATGAAACCCATGATACAACCGCAACGCAAGACTAGATGTAACCTCATGGCCTCATTACTACAATTAAACATTACATAAATTAACCCCCCCCCACCCCCCTTTCCAGCATCCAACAACGAGGCTGAGTACGACAGAGGGAGAAGAAAACAAGGGTTTACAGGAAAAAGGAAAAACCTCATTAAGTCGTTGGCTTCTTTGTTTGTCAGGGAACATTGCTTTGAAGACTCTGGGTTTATCCTCCAAATATTGATCGAAAGAAGCCTGCAAAAGAAAACCATCAACTTCAAATGCCCAATTCCACTCGTAAAGAGAGAGAGAGAGAGAGAGAGAGTACCCGAGGGGATTCATAGAGAGGGATGTCGGTGGAAATTCTAGAGGAGTAAGTGGCGGGTTTCATCATCTGGTTCTCAATGATCATCACTGTCGATTTTGATTTTGATTTTGATTTTGATTGTGATTTATCAATCATTAATAGCTCAAGGCATTGCCAATTTGGAGGACTCAGCTTCTTCCCCTTCCATCGTCTTCCTCGTCCGCTGAATTGCAACCCAGTAGTCGTAGTGGACATTAACAGCAAGCTCTTGCTGCATGAAGGAGGAACCAGCGAACCCATCACAATCTCACCCAGTCTTCTTCGTCTGTTGTTGCTTGCAGAGGCATTACACTGTAAACAAACACAGAGTGAGAAAGAGAGAGAGCGAGAGAGACGCACACGTGTAAAGGTAAGGCATTTGGGGGAAAAGGAACAAACAAGGACAACCATTATCTAATTTGGGCGCGATATCTATCTGACGTGGCTATCTATGGGTGGTCAATGCGAGCTTGTCACACTGCCATGCCTTGTCCACTTCCACGTGTCCCAATTTTGGCTTTGCTAGCCCGAGTCTGGATGAGTCCGGACCCTCGGCCGCAGTTTCCTGTGACGGTCCTTGCGGCGAGTCAAACCACGTCGTTTTGATTATTTTTTTTTTGAAAATTTTTTGGTCCCCCCTATTTTCTATGTTCTGTCATTTATTTATTTTGTTCCACAATCCTTATTGAGGGAGAGGTTGCGTGACTTCGTCCAAATGAGCGGTTCGAATTATTTATAAGTTAAGTAAATTATAATTATAGGATTAATTTAATTTTTTTGTGAATAATATATAAAAATTAATATATATTTAAAAAGGTCTAAGTTAATTAAGGCTTTTTTAAGCATGAGTTAAATAACACATATTATTTTAACATATTATTTTATTTGGATTATAAATATTTTATTTGAATCATATCACTTATCTACTACAGTATTTTAAATTTAATTCATATTTTATAATTTTTTTTTGTTATAAAAAATTAAAAAAATATATTAATCTAGCACTTCTCAAACAATCCCTAATAGCATCTCCAACCCTTATACTTTTTATCAAATTTAACTTTTTCTGTGTCAAAGTATCAAGAGTTTTTTTTAAAAAAAAAACAATTTAGAGAATTCATCCACTTTTCAAATTATTTGTGAAGTTAACATATTTTTTGAAAATTACATTTTCAACATGTAATTTTAATTTGAAATCACATGTTAAAAATATAATTTTATAATGACATAAATTTCACTAAGATATATAGTATTTTTAATTTAAAATTATATTTTCAAAATACGACTTCAAAAAATAGGTTAGTTTTTTAAATATTTTGAAAAGTGAGTTAATTATCTAAATATTTTTTTTTTAAATACCCATATCAAAGGAGGAAAAAATCAAAAAAATTCATTAAATGAAGGGAGCCTTTCCCTTTTGTCAAATTTAAATTATTACCTTTGGGTTAAACATTCCACCGGACATCTTTTTGGATATCTACTCAAAAGTAAATTTGATTAAATTTTTTGTTCACATTTGGACCTAGACAATCGAAAATGTGAAAAAATTTATTAAAAATTGTAATTTAACATTGAGAGAACAATATTAAATTAAATTTTTATTTAAATTTATTAAAATTTTTGATACAACATTAAGCCTCTGTTTGGGAAGTGGGTTAGCTTTTTGGTTTTTTGGCTTTTTTTGCTATTTTAGCCTGGGCTAAAAAGTTTGGTTTGGGAAGGACTTTTTGGCTTTTTTGACTTTTTTTGTGAGAGAAGAATGTAATGATTATGGGTTAGATGTGATATTTTATTTTTTATGACTAAAATAACCTATTTTGTCTTTTGTGGCTAAAATAACTAAAAAAACCCCGTTTAGCTCTTGCCAAACGGAGCCTAAAGATGTTCTAAATCAACATATAAATAAGAGTCGTGATAGAGGCCTCGAATTCGAGGCCTCGAATTCGGCTCGAATCCCAGCAGCCCCCAAAACGACGTTGTTTTGGGGTTTTTTTTGGTTTTTTTTTTTCTTTTCTTCTTCCTCGTTCGAACAGAACCAGAGGGGATGGAAGGGGAAGAAGAGAGAGAGGAAGGGAGAAGAAGAGGGAGCCGCCGGTGGGCCAGACTGGAGGGGACCATAATCACCGGGAGGAGGAGGAGGAGGAGGCGGAGGCGGAGGCGACGGCGGTGCAGCTGCTGTGACGAGCTGGATCGGGCGACGATCGGACGGTTGGCGAGCTCGACGAGCTGCAACGGCAAGTCTTCGGCGAATCCGGACCCCCTCCCCTCCCCTTCCTCTCTCTCTCTTCTTCCCCTCCCCTCCCCTCTAGTTCTGCGAAGAAAAAAAAAATGATTTCGAGGCAAATTCGAGCCTCAAATTCGAGGCCTGAATCATTAATCTATAAATAATCAAAATAAAATATCTTTTTTATTTTTTTATTTTTTATCCACTGTCATTTGACATTAAAAACTACGTCGTGTCGTAAGAATTGAGAACAGCACGACATCGTTTTAACAGCTTCAACACATGGATATAATATGAATAGCCCACTGCATGGATGTCTTGTCTCTGTCTGTGATCTGATCTCCCTCCATTGTCATCAATCCAGAAGCAAAAACAGAAGAGCGAAAGAAACGATGTCGTACTATCCCAAAGGCCACCACGACGGTGACGACGTCGACGACTTCGACGAGTTCGATCCCACCCCTTATGGTGGCGGCTACGACATTGCCCTCACCTACGGCCGCCCTCTTCCCCCATCGGAGAACACCTGCTACCCCACCACCTCCACCTCCACCTCCGACTACGATCGCCCTCAATACTCCTCCTACTCTCAGCCCTCCGCTTACGCCGACGAAGCCCTCGACAACGAGTACAAGAGCTATGCCCGCCCCAAGCCCCGCCCTGCTCCGTCCTACGGCGGCGGCGGAGAAGCCGAGTTTGGCGGCACTGGGTTTGGATCTGGTTCGGAATATGGCCGGAAGCCTGAATATGAGAGACCCGGTTCGGAATACGGTTCTTCTGGGTATGGTAGGAAGACTGGATCTGATGAACCCACTCAGGGATACGATCGTAGACCTCAATCGGACGTGCCCAGTTCGGAATACGGGTCTGGGTATGGGCGGAAGAGTGAATATGAGCAGCCTGGGTCGGAATATGGATCTGGGTATGGTAGGAAGCCGAGTTACGGGGAGGAGGAAGATTACCGGAAACCTAGTTATGAGAGGCCAAGCTATGGGCGGTCTGAGGAGGAAGATTACCGGAAACCGAGTTATGAGAGGCGCGGTGATGACGATGAGGACTATGGCCGTAAGAAATATGTGAGCCTAACATTCCTTTCTCCTTTTGATTGGTTTACTTGTGATTTTACAAATTCTTTTGTTGTTTTGTTTTGTTTAATATTAATAATTCATGATAATTTGTGTTTGGATTTCTAGTTTTTGAGATTTTTGGATCAAGATCCTCTCTATTACAACTTTGAAATGGAGATTCCCATTTCAATGCATGAGTGTGCAATAATCATAATTTTAAATCCTCCTTAGTCTTGATTTTGAGATATTCCGGTGTTATTTGATTTTGATTTTGAGTGTGCAACTTTGATTTTGAGATACGATCGTAGATTCCCATTCCTCGTTACACCAATGCCGTGCCTTTTTCTTTCATTGAATGAGTATTGTTCACTAGCTCCCATATTACTCAATCGATCACAGATCTTTATGTTGAAATTAGTCTAACTCTTTGGATTTTATATTTTCTCTGCATTGTAGTGTTAATTAGGAAATTCCCATTTTGATGATAAATGCACATGCTTAGTTGGCCTATGATAATAAAACAATGGTCCTCTTATGTTAATTCATTGTATTGATCAAAATGCATGTTCCTATAGTACGTCTTAACACCAAAATTTGAACTGCACCATGCCCTCCAAGGATTAAAAAATTTCCATCTTTTTTTCCTTCAACTTTCATGGCTTCCTAGTTCCTTGTCACTGAACTTCTCATATTCCCCGTGTTAATTTTGTTGAGTATCTGTTAAAACTATTGTTGATGTTCTCTATCATTCATTTTCTTGATTTTTTTTCTTTGTCATTCGTTTATTGGTTTCGTTTTCTTTTTCTTTTTCTTTTGAATGCTTCATAGAATATATGGTATGCATTGTTGTTTATATGTCCCATGGGTTACCGAAAAGTCATTTTTTCAAGTATATAATAATTGCTATAATTGCTCCAACTATTATACATGCTTGTGCAAGGTGGACAAATAATTCAAAAAACATTGAGTAGTGATTTAGAAACAAAAAATCCATGCTGTAAACTGATACATAATGACTTGGCTGAGTTTTGAGTCTATCACTTTAGAACAAAGAGTCCATTGAGATGCTTTTAATTACCCAAATAATACTGCCACATCACTCTAGTGCAATATTAGATAGACAAATTCTGGTGGAATAGTGTTTTCCAAAAACATTCTAGTACCAAAGGACATCATGGAAATTTATGGCTTAAATGTTGTGTTGGTCGTTTTTTGGTTTTTTTTTTTGGTGGGGATAGGCTTGGGGTATTGAGATTGCTTGATCAAGGAATATTAAATTGGTATTTGGGCAATGCACAACAATGTGCTATATATAAGGCCTATCATGCACGAACGCGGACACGGACACGAGAATACGCAAATTTTCAAAAAATAGGGGACACGACATGCTAAGGGCACGCTCAATATGTATAATTTTATTTATTTATTATATATAAAATTAAAAATATTATTTATTTATTTATTTATTTATTTACTTTAACAGCAAATAGCATTCATAAATTAAATTTATTTATGAATAAAAATAATTTTTTCTAGTATTTATGTTCAGATTCATAAAAAAATATTCAAAAAATAAAAAATAAAAAAAAGGGGTAAAAAAGGGTTTCGTTAAAAAAAAAAGGAAAAGAGAGAGAGGGGCACACAGAGTCAGAGAAAAGGGGGTCAAACACAGAGAAAGAGGAGGAGAGTGAGTCGAGAGAAAGAGTCGTTGAACAGAGACGAAGATTTGAGTCGAACACGGAGAGCAAGAGAGAGTCGACCACATAGAGAGAGAGAGAGAGAACACAGACATCAGAAAGAGAGACGACGAAACGAAGAAATAGAGACAACAGAAACGAAGAAAGAAGAAGAACGAAGAAGAAAAATGAAGAAAAGAACATACCCCAATCTAGGGCTGAGGGCTTCAACAGGTTCTTCTTCACCCCCCCCCCCCTCTCTCTCTTTCTCTCTCTGTCTTCGATGGGTTAGGATTTCTCCCTCTTTGTCTCCAACATGTCCCCAGGTGTGGTTGGCTAGGGAAATTCATAAAAGAAAAAAAAGGCAGACACGCTAGGTAGAGCGTTCGACACATGTCCACTGCGTGTCCATGTCCGACACGTGTTGAACACCTATACACTGCCTCCACAGAAGTGTCTGTGCTTCATAGTATAAGGCCAATAAAGTTCGAAAAATCTTTACATTTCCTGAAGAACACAGTGGCTGCATAAGATTGACCAAAATGCATCGTCTTATAAAATCTAACACGGTCTAAAAGGTTAATGCATGGCCTATGGCACCGGTCAATTATGCCTTTACTTGGCAGTTGGATAATTGAAGTGTTTTTTTTGCCCGTTTCTTGATGTGTTTGGTAGAGAACATGTGGAAATAGTTCAAGGCCAAAATCAGTAGATATGGTTTTGTATTTTTAGCATTGTTAAAAAGAAAAAAGGAAAAAAGAAAGTTTGTGGTAAGAGCTGATTGCCATATATAACCTATGATGCACAAGCTGTTTTGTGTTATTATGAGACAAGGTGTAGTCTTATTATCGTACATGACTGATAGGATAAAGTCAATACAGGTTATTAATGAGTTACACATACATTTTGCTTTTGTGCAAACTTGTAGTGGTGTACTATGCCCTCCAGTTCCACTTGAGCGCATCTCCTTTTGCTTAGCCAAGTCTTTGAAGTTTGATTAAAAATATCAAATTATTTTCATTATTGTTTGTGTTCACGTCTTGTGTTTGTATGCCCTGTTATGAAGTGGAGAATTTGCATGAGCTCTAGAGGAAATCCTTTATGGTGGAATTGGAGCAGTTATGAAAATTAGGATCCCCTGGCTTTTATTAATCTGTGCAAATTTTTTAAGATTGCACGCCAAATAAGTTGGTACTTATGTTCTGTTTTATATGTTAATGCTTCAAAGTGGGCTCTATTTTTGTTCGTAGAGCACATAAATGCTCCACCTTGATGTGCATACTTCTTTTGTTTTTCTAGACAATGACATTTTTACTTTCTTTCTGCTTGCTTTTCATAATAACCCATAATTGCCTCTAGGCCTAGACATGCTTAGGGGTGGCAATTTGAAACCGGCCCGATGGGGACCCGACTCCCCTACCCCGAATTGAGCGAGTTTTCCCTGAAAAATACCCCCGACGGGACGGGGATGGTATTTAAAAATTAATCCCTGAACAGATTCGGGTCGGGGTCGGGGACGGGGATAAGTGTCCTATCCCCGTACCCGGCCCGTCCCCGATCCCCGGCCCGGTTTATCCCCGATGTTAAATTACCATTTTATCCCTATATATATATAAACAGAAGATAGCCTGCTCCCTCACCCCATTTCACTGATACAAGCCCCTCTTCCTCTTTTTCTCTCTCTTTCCCCTCCCTACGACTCTCTTTCTCTTCTCCCTTACAAACCCACTTCTCTCTCTCTCTCTGTTCCCTCTACTCTCTCTTCCGACACTGTTGTCCAACGTCGACTCGATCCTCCGACGCCCCTACCTCCTTGGACGCCACTATCACCGTGTTACCCCTGACCAGTGGAACTCGTCCCTCACTAGATCTTCGCCGTTGCAGATTAACTCCAGGGATTACAGATCGATCGAGCATGGTGCAGATTTACTCAAGATCTTCGCTGCTGCATGATTGATCGATTACAGATCTAGTTTTTCTCTCTCTCTCTCTCTCTGTCTCTCTCCCTCCTCCGTCGTTCCCTCAGATCTGTGTGTCTTATGTTATCATTTTTTTTTTTTTTTTGTAGTTGATCTGTTAATGATTTGTTGTTGTTGATGTTGAAAATGTTAATGATTTGTTGTTGTTGATGTTGAAAATGTTAATGATTTGTTGTTGTTGATGTTGAAAATGTTAATGATTTGTTGTTAATCTGTTAAAGAGATCTGTGTTAATGATCTATGTTATTGTTGATCTATTTGATGATATTGATGGTTTTGTGCGTGTCTCAGTCTCAGATCTGTGTTTTTGTTGTTGAAAATGTATGTGTAATGTTGTTATTGATGATGTTGAAACAAATTTAGGCCGGGGAGTTTTTAGGGTCAGGGAAACCCGATCCCCGATCAGGGGCGGGGACGGAGAGAGTAATAGGTTCTCCATCGAGGATCGGGAACGGGGAGTGTGATCCCCGCCCCCGCCCCGTTGCCATTCCTACCGTTGCTATTCCACATGCTTCTCATTTTAGTCAACACGATCGCCTATTGAGAAGTGGTAATCATTTCTTACCCTGATTGCCTTGGGATTGAGTAAGTTCTAGAAAAATTAAATATGGTGTTGTGTTGCTGCTATAAAAACAGCCACTTTATCTCAGATCCTACATGTGACGTGGTGGAGTCATCCCCTCCAGGGATACCTGTATGTAATTTCCTTATCTGTATATGAAAGTGAGCAGCTCAGATGGGTTATCAGTAGACAATAACTACTAGAACCTTCTTCAGTGTATCACAGAAAATAAAACCTACTTTAATACTGGACAAAAACTACAATGAGTAGAATAGCCCTATTATCGACTTATCTATGTTTTTTTTGTTAAAAAAAATGTTGTTGTCTCCTTGTACTTTACTTGTTTGGGTTTTTTAAATATGAATCGTCATTTCAAGTAATTTTCATGTTTATGATTGTTTGGATTTTATTGAATTTGGCAGGGAGATGACGATTCTGATGATGATGATGATGAGAAGAAGAAACACCATCATGGGCACCACCACCGCAAGCATTATGATGATTAAATGGAATGCTGCTGGATAGCATCGGGAATGACATTTGTGCCATAGTAAGCTACTACTAAAATAAAGAGAAGGCGTGTTTTTCTCTCATTGTCACTACTCTTTTCTGAGTGTTTGAATCATAAACCTCTGGTTGTGTGAAACCATCTGAACTTTTTTATCATGTGCAGATGTTTTTCTGCTTTAGTATAATAAAATCCCAAAACTTACTGGTTTGGCTGTGCATGTTTTCATGTTATTAGTTGTGATGGATAAGGATGTTTATGCTTGAATCCATGTGCTAGTGTGTGTGACAGGAGAAAAAATTGTGTGAAACGGTTATGCAATGTCAAACTTGCTATAACATTGGTGTTTCTTTCTTCTTCTTCTTCTTCTTCTTCTTCTTTTTTGTTTTATTCACATTTTTAAGAATGTTGACATTGTTTTTTTTTTTTAATATGCCAATCATTTAATTGTTTCATTGGCCACCACTCAGTCACTTGCGACACAAAACAAATGGAGTACTTTTTTAATATTCTGATACAAAATTTTAAGGGTGAGATCGTAAGAGTTTGATTTTTTCCAATATATATTGAAAAATTTTAAAGAACTATTTAGCTAAAAATTTCTTTTACTTATATTTAAAGCATCTCTAATAGTATGCCAAAATCATTTTTGGTTATATTCTCATAAAAAGCCTGTGCCAAATTTGCCACATCTGCAAAGATAATAGAATCTTGGGGTGGTTTGGGATGTTTTAAATAAATGTATTTTTTAATTTTTTATAAAAAGATGTATAGAAAAGTAAAGAGAAGATGTTGATTGATGTGACCTAAAAAAGATAAAAAGATAGACTAAAATAGGTTATGTCAAACAAGGCTTAAAGTTTCTTTGTGAGAGCATCTCCAACGGTAGTAGGCATTTTACCTATCTGAATATTACTATAAAGTATATATATTTTATTTTGCCTATCAACTGTTTTATGTTTTTACTCCAACCATGCTCTTTATTTTAGCTATTTATCCAAATACTATTAATTTTATAGAATGCCACGTCAACAACAAAGATGGAGGGAAATGATCCTCATGAATGAATACATTTTGCCTAGCGTTAAGGCTAGCTACATGTAGCTAGTGAATATGAGTTGAGGCAAAATGCCTAATCATATGCCTAGTGCATTGGAATTGAAAAAAGTGAATCACACTAGGCGTGAATATGAGTTGAGGCAAAATGCCTAATCATATGCCTAGTGCATTGGAATTGAAAAAAGTGAATCACACTAGGCATTTTAATTAACAAGTATTATATGCCTAGTGCATTGGAGATGCTCTAAGACTGCAAAACCTTTGTCAAAAATTTAGTGGTTGATTTAGAAAATGCTTCTCAAAATATACATTTTTTAAGAGACGCCTCAAATACATTAATACTTGAAGAGCAATTCTATTGGTGAAAGCCAATGGATCTATTTTTCAAAAAGCATCTATAGATAGTGTAAAAATGATAAAGAAGACATGGGACCGTAATATCAAGGTTAAAAAAGTATAGCCTTTGAAGAATTTGATTAACATACGTTAGCTCTTTCATCTTAGGCATTTAAATATTTATACAACCACCTTTGATCATTCAAGTGCGCAAATATGTTGCTGGGCCCAAGCATTTATTTGAATATGACATTTTTTAAATATGTTGTTGGCTCTTTCATTCTCACTATTCAAGTACACCAATGTTATTGAAGACTTGAAGGCCTAAGATCATCTGTGTAAAAAAGTTCAGAGGTTCTCATGTTTCAAAATTTTCACATTGTGTGATTAAAAATATATATTAAGGCTGTATTTGAACCATAGATTTAAGTAGTAATTTAGAAAAAGAAAGGAAATTTTGAATAAAATATAAGCTATTCCACCCCCTCCCCCTCCCCCTCCCATTTCCTTAGACTTTTTCTTTTTCTTTATGAATTGCAAAATTTATTATCCAAATACAACCTATGGAATAAAGCATAGAGATTCTAGAGAAAAAAGCATCCCTAGCCAACCTGAAGTGGTGTGAGGCTGGCATAAATTAACATAAGGGCTTTATTGCTGCCCTTGTTTTTCAGAAAATTATTAGATAATTTCAGAGTATCATGTGACATTGTCTACGTAGTTGGTTACTCCCAACTAATGAAAAGCTGCAACCCATACTAAGTTGCCATTGTCTACGTGATTGGTTACTCTCGTAACTAATGAAAAATAGCCCCCCACACACACTAAATGGGTCATCATTTTATTTACTGTACAATTTGAGTCAACAAGTCACATTGTAAAAATTTTCACTACATGATTAATTTGGGACACAATATAAATAATATCGCATGATATTATGAGATTATTGAATAATAACCCTAATTTTTCATAGTTTGGTGGGTACTCTTTGTATCGATGTTAAACGCGACAGTGCAGACTATATAGCTGTAGCCTATAGGGTATGCATTCACCAGCAGGGAGTTAACAGTTCACCAAAAAGCTAAAACCCCAATTTATAACGCCACAGTAAGGGAGGCCCCACTGCTCTCTCAGCCATGGACTGATTTATGCTTATTTAATACTATCTACATTTGAATTTTTAGTTTATTTAAATGTAGATGAATGATTCAAAATTCTGATATGATCTTTATGTGCGTTCATATTGTTTGTTGAAATTAGTAAGAGGGTATGATCAACACCAAATGAAAAGAAAAATAGTTACACATTACAGATATAGTTGGTGAGACCCATTTCATGAAAAAATCTTGTCTATCCATATTCGTTCTGTGTTCTCTACAGTTCTGCAACAATTTTAAACATTGGTTTTCTCTTGACTCTTCTGGATTGATGGCTCAACCTAATTGAGTCAACCTTGTTTAGTTCAAGAACAATGAAGTTTGGGAAGGAATTTGCTTCACAGATGGTGCAAGAATGGCAAGAAGCATACATGGCCTACAACTATCTCAAAACTCTCTTGAAAGACATCTCGCATTTTCGACAAAGGAATGCATCATCACCAAATATTGCACGTACCCCAAAAGGCTCTCTGAAGCGAAGACTATCGCTTTACAGAGCCTTTAGCGGGCTTACAAGCCGATGCAACAACCTTAGACTTTCCCCAAAGAAGAACAATGAAGGTGAGGTAATACTGGTGAGTGCAGTGCAAGAAGAAGGGTCACCGGAAGGGAACTACTATGAAACTATGTTTCTCATGTCCTCGGATGAAGGAGGAGAGTACGAACTTGTGTTCTTTAGGAGGCTTGATGATGAGTTCAACAAAGTGATCAAGTTCTATAGGGAAAAAGTGAAGGAATTGATAAAGGAGGCAGAGGAGTTGAACAAAAAAATGAATGCTCTCATTGCTCTTCGGATCAAGGTCGATAAACCTGTCATTGTATCAACAACTTCTCAAGAGATTAATGAAAGTAAGCCATGTAATGGGAGAACAATCATAAGTTCTGCTCTTGATGTCTATACTATTAATCATACAACTAAGAATAGTTTTGAAGCTTTGTTTTTTCAAAAATGCCCAAATTGTTTGTTGTTGCTAACCGATTCCAAATTCAACTCATCTTCCTCAGTCATCAAATTGCCAAAAATTTAGGTGTAATATGTATATGTATATAACAAGAGAGATTTGATGAGGGGAGATGAGAGAAAAATTCTAAAGCACATATATGGGTATTAAAGCATTTATATTATCCTATTTATTCTTGATATATGACAAAAAATTTGTAGATTATTGTGATGATTAATTGCCCAGAAAAGAGATGTCGCATGTAAGATGAGCTGAGAAAAGCATTGTTGAAAAGTACAGTGTCAGTCTTTCTTGATGTTGCCAATCTGGAAAACAAAATCATGGATCATATGCATAGAGATTCCTTTGATATTTCCCTTTTTTTTTCTCCTTTTTCATAGTTATATTCTTAAAATTTCAATCTTTGTTTTGAATGTGAAGTAAGGTCACATATGGATGCTATTCAAGAAGTTGAGATGAGCACTGAAGGAACTATGGAAGATGAACCAGAAACCAGCAGTAACCATAAAAAAACCAGTAGAAGGCAGATATTATTGCAGGCTTTAGGCCCACTTCATTAGAAGTATTGAATTGTGTAAAGATCAATATCGCACCTGAAACTCCAGTTTCAACTTTGAAAAATATCATCATGAGTTCAAAATCCGACTTATCGTTCAGCAAGCAGGAGCTGAGGAAAGTGGAAGAAAAAATGAGACAGGCTTTTATTGAATTCTACCAAAAGCTACGGCTTCTCAAAAGCTACTGGTAATTTCATTAAATAAAAAAAATATATATATATATATAAAATAATAAAAAAAGAGTTAGTTTCCTCAACTCTGAGTTTTCCTGACATATTTGTAATTGATGTTTCAGTTTCTTGAATCAGTTGGCGTTCTCTAAGATCATGAAGAAGTACGACAAGGTCTCACACAATTTGGTTTTCTTCATAATTGGCCTGAGCTGAATTTTTGTTTTCTATATTGACTAATTAGTAATTGTGCAGATCACTTCAAGGAATGCATCGAAGGCTTACTTAGAGATGGTAGACAAATCTTTTATTGGAACCTGTGATGAGGTTTAATGCAATTCATGAGTTTCTGTTTCGTGTCAGCAAGATCGAGTCCTTGACACGAGCCTTCCGGTCAATCTTGTGCTTCCTCAGGTTACTAGGCTTATGGAAAGAGTAGAGTCTACTTTCATAATGCACTTCTCAAATGGAAATCGCAAAAAAGGAATCAATACTCTAAGGCCACAAGCTAGAAGGGAAAGGCATAGAGTAACATATTTCTTGGGTAAGAACATGACGTACATCACTGAAACTGTTTTTGATTTTCTCTCAACAATGAAATCAACAAGAATTCTCCCAAACCGTTTTTTTTTTTTTTTTTCTCTTGCAGGTTTTTTCTCTGGCTGCTTAATAGCGCTCATAGTGGTTATTGTTGAGCTCATACAAGCAAGATCTTCTTAAGAGCGAGGCGCGTGGGCAGTACATGGAAAACATATTTCCACTTTGCAGGTATGTCGAGGAATTAATAGCTAGTTTGCATTTATTTTTAATTTCATCATATTCTCTCTAACCCTTTTGTTAGATTCACTTTTTTTGCAGCTTGTTTGGATACATTGTCCTGCACATGATTATGTACGCTGGAAACACATACTTTTGGAAGCGTTTCCGGATCAATTATCCCTTTTTATTTGGTTTCAAGCTAGGGACAGAACTGGGTTATGGAGAAGTCCTCCTCCTCGGTTCTGGTCTTGCAATTCTCACACTGGCTGGTGTAATCTCAAATCTGGACATGGACATGGACCCAAGAATAAGAAGCTTCAGAACAATAACTGAATTAGTCCCTCTGGGACTCGTCACTGTAATTTTGATCTTCTTATACAATAATATCTTTGACTATGAAATGTTTGTAATGTTTTTAAGAGCGTAAACCGTGTCAATATCTAATTGCAGCTGGTGTTTCTTAAAACATTCTGTCCTTTCAACATCGTTTACCGTTCAAATCGCTTCTTCCTTATAAAATGTGCATTTCACTGTCTTTGTGCTCCTTTATATAAGGTAACACAACTATGAATTTCTATGGCGAAATATCTATAATATGCAAAGGTATGATTGAAATTTAATCTTAATTAATTATCTCTGTTTTCAGGTTACCCTCCCCGATTTCTTCTTGGCAGATCAGTTCACTAGCCAGGTTAGACATTTCGCTTATGCCATCAAAACGAGACCAGTTGCTCTTTCAAAATTAGCTTGTATCACAGTCCATTCACATTCCAAGCATACATTTACTCCTAATTTTTCAGAAAAACTATGTAACAGGTATGGCTAATCTGTTTCAGGTGCAGGCATTGAGATCTTTAGAATTTTACGGTTGGGAAGACTTCAAGAGGAGATCAAACAAGTGCAACCAAAGTGATACTTTTAAGAATTTCTGAATCGTCGTTTCAGTTATTCCATATTGGCTATGCTCGCTTCAGGTATGTTTATGTTAACTAACACTTAGCACTCACAAATGACACTAATTTGTTGTTAGCCTCTCTGTCCTGCTAGATATGCACCGTGTACACATCTTGGCATGCAACAATGACATAGCATCTTTTCTTTTGGCATTACAATATACTCGACCCTAATGTTACAGTGCCTACGACGCTTGTTTGAAGAGGGAAATTATATGCATGCACTTAACACACTCAAGTACTGCTCAACAACTGTGGCCATCGTAATGAGAACAGGTAATGATCAAAAGTGGGGAAAGATTTGGAAGATCATGGCCGGATCAAGTTCAGCTGTTGCAACACTCGCTAGCACGTATTGGGACATCGTCATAGACTGGGGACTTATGCGAAGGAATTCTAGAAACCCGTGGTTAAGGGACAAGCTTCTTATATCAAACAAAAGTGTATACTTTGTAGCAATAGTAAGTACCAGAATAAAGAGTTATTGAGGTTGCATTTTTGTTTTTACTAAAAGTATGTGTGATATGAAAATTGCAGGTACTGGATGTGATGCTAAGACTTGCTTGGATGCAATCAGTTCTAGGATTTTATGAAGCACCATTCCTGCATAGAACAGCTGTGATTGCAATTGTAGCTTGTTTGGAGATCATTCATAGGGGTATATGAAATTTCTTCAGGTATGTATGTTTTAGATTTCTGTTCCTTCATAATGTAGACCAGAAACAATGGCAAGCCAACATTGATGGCTATAAATTCAATAAAAAAAAAGACAATAAATTCATTATAATAAAAAAAAAAAACAAAACAAAACAAAACTTGACAAAAACTGGCCAACTCATCTACCCAAGAATTCAACTGTTCAGTTCATCGAACATTTCACAAGAATGACTTTTCATGATTATATTTGGATTATGTCTTTTCTGATCAGGTTGGAGAACGAGCACTTGACCAACGTTGAGAAATATCAGGTATTCAAGTCAGTACCCTTACCTTTCAATTACGACGATGAAGAGAAGCACACATCATAACTATTTATTGTACAGAACAGGGAGGATTGGTTTGTTATTATTCTTTGGCCGGTAACTGTATTTGAATAAGTATGAGAACTACAGAACGACAACAAACATAAACAAGAAAGTTTCAATACTTAAGATCGGAAGTGTACCAAATGCAAAAGAAAAAATAAGTTTCTATATGCAGCCAAGAACAATTGACCAGACAATGCAGCCGATAAGTATGTCACAGTAAAATCAGAAGACTCGGCATCACTTATCACCATTGTTGAATGCAGTCCACAATCGAGAGAACAAATGGTTCTCCATACTTGACAGTCGTTTCCATCACCATGAATTGCTCACTTTCTTCGTAAAGAATATACAACAGAAATGCTCAGAACTGAACGGCATTAAAATTTAAAAAGATGTGGAATGAAGATGAGCAAAAACTCATTGCTACAACACTTTGAAGTTCATTTCTCATTGTACGTGCTAGTTGTTAAACTCAAAAACAAGAAAGCACACATCACAGAAAGAAAACAGACATTATTACTAGGATTGTTCAACTGACAAACCTAGTAAAGTGAAGGAGAACATTTAGTGAGCACATACCCAAAATATAACAATATAAAAAGGAAAACAGCGGTGCAGGTGAACCACTCTATATGGTCTCCAGAGCCTGAAGAATATCAGCCTTCACGTCCTCAAAGTCTTCAACTCCAAAGCTGAAGCGAACCAAATTGTCCATGATCCCATACTTAGCCCTATCAGATTGGCTTAGATCCCTGCTCAAATGCATGACAAAACACATTATCTTCTAACACCATGTACAGTAGTAACAAATAGGCACATCGTGTTTATCTGAATTGTACAAATTATAATTTTGTAAAACATTTTCTTTTTAGACATTGCATAAAACAAGCTATAGTTATGAGAAATTAAAATTACTTATCAAAAAAAAGTCTAAAGAAAATTAAAATTGTACAACCACCAATTTAGAGAAGTTTAAACTACCTAGACATTTTAACTATGCTTCGAGGGGAATTTGTCCCCATAAACAGATGAGACATATTCACTTACTATACGATGAAGAAGTGAAGAGAATATACCAGTAAGACATTATTGCTGGCTGATCCACAATGCTTTCACAACCTCCAAAGGATGGGGCAATATATGGGATTTTCAAAGCATCAACAAACTTTGCAGTAGTCAATAAGTCTCCATCAACCTGAAATGGAAAATAATATAGCAATAAACCTTCAGCAAAATGCAGAAATAAACCAAAATACAATCAGAAGACTAGAAAAATAACTATCAGCCAGTTGCTCATCAAAGCTGTTGTCCATACCGACCTCAAAACTAACCACACCACCAAAACCAGTCATTTGCCGCTTGGCAATATGATGCTCTGGATGACTTGGCAAGCCCGGATAATAAACGTGTTTCACCTGTAAATCATGATGACAATGATAACAATGGTAACAATAAATGGCATAAGCATCATCATGGCAATAGAACGAAAACCAACAGGAAAACAAATGGGACTGAAAAGAAGCTAGAAGAAGAAAAATTTTGCTTCTTATTGGTTGTTGTAGTTCGGGTGTTTGGGATAAAAGTGAGTGACGGGAATGGAAATTAAGGCAGTTTAAGTACCTTAGGATGTGCCTCTAAAATCTCGGCCATCCTCAATGCTGTTAAATTTTGCTGCTGTACACGAAGATGCAGTGTCTTCATGCCTCGGATGATCAGATATGCGGCATTCTGATAATGGAAAGGCCCTTTATTATGATACAAGCTCATGTTGCAAAGTAAGATTCAAAAGTGAAATAATTCAAGCATGGTAAAACCCCAAAAACATTTTGTTTGGTTCAGAGACCAAATTATATGACTGACAGTGAACAAGTCTTTTGTGTTAGTGGATTGGAAATTACATTGCATTTCCTTAGTGGTATAAATTTATGAAGGTGGTGCACAACAATATTGTAGGTGTTTGGAAAGTGGGTTTTTTGTTGATTTTTTTAGTTGTAGGATATTATTGGAGAAAAAAAATTGTGTTTGGGAAGATAGTTGGGTTTTTTGTGATTGGATGTGATGTTTGTGAGAGAAAAAGTGAAATGATTATGGGGTTTAATGTGATATTTTGTTTGGATTTGTTTTTTTTTTGTTTTGTAACCAATTTGTCTTTTAGTAGAAAAAAACCAAAAATTCATCTTCCCAAATAGCGCCATTATGTAACAAGACTCATCAACCAAGAATTCCTAAACGGTCTAACAAAAAATTTAAAATTAAAATGAAGAAAATAAGAATGATAACTCACAGGGTTGAGAGCACCACCCAGAATATGATGCAAGTTACGAACGACTGAAATTAACTTCTCCGAACTGCTGATGCAACCTGCAAGGACCTACAACAGAATAATACTTAATTATGTTTAATGGTTTAACGTTAGTAATCCTTTAACAAACTAGATTCACAAATACAGTAACATACGTCATTGTGTCCTGCAATGAATTTTGTTGCGGAGTGCAAAACAATGTCAGCCCCAAGAGCAAGGGCCTTCTGGTTGAGAGGTGTTGCAAATGTTCCATCTATGCAGACAAGTGCTCCTTTATCGTGGCAAAGTTTTGAAACCAATTCAATGTCAACACATCTCAGGAATGGATTGGTTGGGGACTCAGTGAAGAAAAGAGTAACCTGCATCCAATAATAATGTCAATCTATTCAAGAAAACCTGATTCTGCTGTATATGATGACTACCAATGGAAACTTGAAGCAAACAAGCTAACCACTTCCTTCAATACTCACTTTATTTTTATCCAGTGCAGATTCAAGGGCTCCAATATCTGCAGGGTCAATCACAGTGGCCTGCAGTTCAATTGTGGAAGAAAATCAGGAATAAGCGTAAAAATTAGAAAGTACAGAACAGCAATCCTTTGGATTCAACCAAAGCACCAACACAATTATCAGGGTGAGTTTGCCATCGTTTTTTAACATGATATTGAATTTTCTCATCTATAACCTTGAATTTCACAAAAAGAAAGAGAGAGACATTTAAAAAACTTTTATCCATAAGTATCTCACAGATCTGAAATTGATCCCTTTTTTTTTTTTTTTTTTTTTTTGCAGAGGCTTTTTTTTTTTTTTTTGACAAGCAAAATTGGTCCTTGATCTGAAGACATGCAATCAACAGTGTGGAAACAGTCCCAATAAGAGGAAACCATACCTTGATCCCCATTTTGGGAAGGATAGTTTCAATAAATATCCGAGTCTTCCTATAACAATCAGTCGTCGTCACAATATGCCCACCAGCTGGTACCAATGCCAACAACATGACAGTACTGGCACACATTCCAGATGCCATTAACAAGGTTGATTCAGCTCCCTCAAGTGCGCTGTTTCAATTAGAAAAAATACATGGCCTCAAATGCATTCAATGGTACAAGTGCTACACGGAGAAAATAATTAAATAAAAATGAATACAGACCTTATCTTCTCCTCCGCAACCACTGTCGTTGGATTTCCATAACGTCCATATTCAAAACTTGCACGGCGTTTCTCCTACCAAATAGATCAAAGAACTAATTCAATATACCAAATTAATCCCACGTTGCAGGCAAAGAGTCATTGTTATCATGTTAAACATGCAACACAATTGATCAAGCAATTATCAAATAAACTCGCTACAATCTGGCAAGGGTGAAGGTGATACACCTGCTATATCAAGTAAGCCTCTACAAGCTTGGAGCTCTTTACTTAAAGAAGAGATTAACAAAGTATCAAAATTGAAGTATAAAATAGGTTCCCATAAGATTGAAAACCTAGTAGATGGTATGTACAATATTCCTATTGAGATCTTAAAAAAAGGCTTTTCTCATTGAAAAAATGTCTTTGTTGGATACTTCGTTGATAAAAGATTCTCTTTTCATTATGTGAAAACTTGGGCAGAGAAAGTTTAGGAAAATTTGCTTGAGGATGTTGTCTCCATTGATAATGAGTTTTTTTATTTTTAAAGTAAAAAGTGAAGAGGCTATGAACAAAATTTTAGAAGATGGCCCCTATTACGTTGGGGCTAGATTGATTGTTGTTAAAAAATGACAACTTGAACTAAAACTAACAAAGTATGAATTTTTGAGTATGCCATTGTGGGTGAAGTTGTATAATATTTCTTTGGAGCTTTGGACTGAAGAGGCTTTGGGTTGCATTGCTAGTATCATTGGTACGCCTCTTTATTTGGATGAGCCTACGTTCAAGAGAAACAAACATAAGTTTGTGAGAATATGTATTTAAGTGCCAAATCTTGGTTATTGTGACCTGTATAAGATTCAAGTTGAGGTTCCATAAAAGCCTCAAAGGTGTGATATTTGTAAGACTTTTGGTTATACCATTAATTTGTGCCCTTAGAAGTCAAACTTTGAACCCTCCATCTTCCAAAAAAGAGTGGAGAGTCAAGGAGACTAAAATACAAATTTCAACTAAATGGGAAGTGGTGAAGAAAAATGAGAGAGATGGTGTGCAAGGTTTAACAACAGTAATAAACAAAGAGAGAGAGAGAGACAGAGTCTTCTGCCCTCTCAACATCTAATGCCTTTGATGTCCTTGAATTGTGTGATATGGGAGAGTTAGGGAATGGAAAATTAAATCAAGAGGAGTTGTGCCAAACAAAGAGCCTAAATAGAGAGTGCCCATCTCCAAGTGACTCCAGTAATGGAGAGACTACAAAGGAAGATAACCGAAGAAAACTTAAAGCGCAATTTCATAACTTGAAGAGGGCTAAAGGAAAATTTTGAATCCTTCTTGTTATGTATGTTGTGCTTTTCTTCTATAAACTTAGTTTGTTTTTTTGAGGGAGTAGTTTGTTTTTATTTATGTTTGTTCTCCTACAAAAAGATGCGTATTGAATTTCATGATCTATCTCTTTCTTTTTTTTTGGTTATAATATGACTTGCCTATCCAAAAAAAACAACGCTCTCTTGAAAGGTTTAGTTGGTGTAGAGCAATAACAACATTTAATGCCAAACTAGCAAATCCAACCATGATGCATACCTTAAAATCAATGAGCTCAGAAGTTTTCTTGAAGAAGTAAGCAGACGTATTAACTACTGGAGTAGTTATCGCATCAGTAACTATCCCGCGACCTAACCTTTCACCTGAGATTGAGAAAATGTAAAATCAATCCATGCTTAATCACATACTATAATCATAGATGTTGCAAAGAAACTAGTCATGTGGGGGTATTATTATTCAAACTCGAATGACACATAAAAGGACTTTGAACATAATCCATTTATGTACGATAATTACATTATAAAACATCAGAAACCCCTTTATTCCAAGGCTGAAACATCAATTGATTTTGTCTAATGCAATAGAATGGACTCTTAACGGAATGAACCATCACAATTCACAATCAACAAATCAAAAAGACAAAAAATCAAAATCAAAATCAAAATCAAAGATATACAAATGTAAATACGCGACATATAGATATACAGAAACGTACCGGCGTGAACTGCAATGCTCCCATCGGAGCTCAAAAACGAATACGGCTTCTCGTCAATCAAACCGTCAATCTGTACATTAGTATCATTACAACAAACATTATCAACCGCCACCACCGCCTCCTCCTCATCTCCGGTCGAAATCTCAACCGGAGAGAGAGCGGCGGCGGAGGAGAAACCAGACGCAGACTGATTGTTCGACCACGAAGCCGCAACGACCTGAGCGACGCCTATGTTGCTGCAATTCCTCCGAGCCTTGATGCTAAGCTGCCTGACAAAGTTGGGAGGGAACCTGAAGATCAGAGAAGAAAGACCGGAGGCCTCGAACAATCCGCGACTCTCCCCAAGCCTGGAGAATCGGCCGGAGCTCTGGTTCTCGGGGCGAGGGATGCCGGAGAAGTCGGGATCTGAACGGCACTGAAAGGACGGGAAAACCCTAGCATAGCTGGAGACGGCCATTGGGAGGGTAGAAACCGCAATTTTGCTGTGGCGCCGCCTTCTCTGAAAATAGGAAAGAAGTTCAAAGAGAACTCTCACAAAGTCCGAAATTACGCGCGCTGGCTTTGTGTCTATTTATCGCGTGGCCCAATAGATTCGCCAATTCGCCCAACTACGGTTAATTTTTTTTTGTTTTTTTACCATGGTTAGATTTATTTTAGGTTAAGGCACCGTTTTGGGAAGGTGGGTTTGAGGCTTTTTTGGCTTTTTTAGCCACAAAAAACAAAATAGGCTATTTTAGCCATAACAAACAAAACATCACATCCAACCCATAATCATTACATTCTTCTCTCACAAAAAAACTCAAAAAAGCCAAAAAGCCAAAAAGTCAAAAAGTCCTTCCCAAACCAAGCTTTTAAGCCCAGGCTAAAAAAGTCAAAAAACTAAAAAGCCAACCCACTTCCCAAACGGAGGCTAAGCCGGGTTAATTGGGATTCTGTTGACAGGCTGGCGTTGGTTACGAAACTAATTGCATACCAAGAGAAAAATTATAAAACGATACTCCCTCCGTCCCAAAATATTAGTCCCTTATTTCATTTTTCATTGTCCCAAAATATTAGTCCCTCTTTATAAATCAAGTACAAAAATAATATAAATTTCTTATTTTACCCTTCTTTTAAATTAATAAACAATTTAAAAAGTACAATTATGACATTGATATTTCCAAAAAATGTACTATCAAAAGGGTAATTTTGGAAAACTAACTTTTTTCAAATGCAATAAGTGTACTACCAAAAAAAGTTGAATTCCCCAAAAGGGACCAATATTTTGGGACGGAGGGAGTACGTTTTATTTTTATTACGTAAAATTTATATCTATACTATATATTAAATAAAAAGAAATTTTTAATTTTAAACTTTGTGAGAGTTTGAATTTTTTAATTTAAATTTTTTAATTTTTTGATTTAAAAAAAAAAATCTTAACATTTATTAATATCTCCTAATTCTCAAATCTTATCCTCATAATAATACTTTAATGCATTAAGAACAAGCATAAAAAAAATTCTTTGAAATCCAACACATATGAATTCCTTGAAAAGTCCCAACACATAAAAAAAAATCTTAACATTTATTAACTTCTCTCAACCCCCAAGTCTTACCCTCATAATAACACTTTAATGCATTAAGAACAAGTATAAAAAAAATTCTTTGAAATCCAACACATATGAATTCCTTGAAAAGTTCCAACACATATGATTATTATCCCTCATAATAACACTTTAATGCATCCTAAGAACAAGTATAAAAAAAATTTCTTGAAAAGTCCAACACATATGATTATTATCAAAATATTAAATTTTAATATAATATAAAAAAGGAAAAATAACATTTAAAAATTTAAAAAAAAAATACATGTAAAAATCGCAATTCACATATATTGATAATTGTAAATATATTAAGGAAAATGGGGTTTCTAAATCCCAAGCGAGCTCCAATCTCTCGATCTTAAATTTCTAAATTTTTTATTTAAAAAAAAACTTCAGCATTTATTAATTTGATCAAAATCTCCTGATCAGCATTTATTAATTTTTTCCAATCCATATGCCTGTATTTATTGATTTGGTCAAAATCTCTGATTAGCATTTAAAATCTTTTCATACAAATAATTATAGATACAGCCCGTGCATAATTACTGCAGTAGTCTTTTTAATTTCTCTTGTACACTATGGTTAATGATAAGATTGTTAAATTATTTTTATAAAAAATCTTAAAAAACATAATTTATATATTAAAAAAAATTAAAACAAATATAAATATCTATAATTATCTCGTGCATAGCACGGGTGATAAGCTAGTATTTAATAATTTATAAGGGAATTTTTTTTGATTTCATAAAAAAGTTGAGGAGGAAAGGAGGCTATGTCATTTCAGGGCTAGGGAAAGTATTACACAAAAGGATTGTCGGCAGCGGGACTTGAACCTAATGGGAGAAGAAAACAAGTCTTACCAACTGAACCAACCCTTGTTGGTAATTTAAAAGGGAATTGAATGTAGATGAAAGATGAAAAAAAATTATCAATTTTGAGAAGTAGATTTTTATGTAGGTTTTTTTAGTTGTAGGATATTATTGAAAAACATTTTTTTTGTGTTTGGAAATATAGTTTGAGTTTTTTTGTGGTTGGATGTGATATTTGTGAGAAAAAAAATGAAATGATTATGGAGTTGGATGTGATAGTTTGTTTGGATTTATTTTTTTTGATTTTACAAAAAATTTGTCTTTTAGTGAAAAAAAATAAAAAAAAACCCAAATTTTTTTTCTCCAAACACCGCCTTAGCCATGCAATCATAAACCATTTCAGCAAGAGAATATCAATTGCGGCAACAGTTGATCTCATCCCCTTTCTACCAATTATTATTATTATTATCATCATAAATTATTCAACACTCAGGTTGGTTATATATGTGTCATGTTTTATCGCTTTGCTCTATCTGAAGTAACATTAATTATGATCGTTTATTAATTGGAGATTGTAGCTCAAGTGTACCAACACCTGAACCCTTGACATATTAGGTCTTCAACTATCAATTTTTGAGTTTGAATTTGTTAAAATTGATGAAAATGATCTGATAATGTGACAATCGATATTAAATTAACTTGATATTTTGCATAGATAATTTTCTCAATTTATTATATGAAATGAACTACTTAAATCATTTAAATGAGTTCAAATTATAAATCAATTTTACCATAAAGTTAAGATTTTTAATTTTAATAAATTTGCACTCAAATTTTTCTCACAATGATAGTGGAACCTCTCATTGTGTATATATCGTCGTTTTGGGGGGCTGTCGGGTAGGGCTGCCGGGTAGGGCGGCCGAGAATCCGGACTCGATTTTCTAGAGGCTTAAGAATATCTATATCAGTCTTGTCAAACTCATTTCTAAATCAGAATGTAAAGCAAAAATAGAAAAATCAAGTTTCAGGAGCTTCCATCAATCTCACTAGCTTATTTTTGAAAAGTGGGTTATAATCTATCATCTTTTTAAAATAGTCCTCATATTGTAAAATTTGTGATTGTTAATTTGTGATTGTTATAGTACATTTCTTAACGTAGGTATATATTGTTTACAAATTATATATTGGGCAATGCTAGAGACCTCTAATTTAGAGGCTCTAAGCACACCTCTAATGAGGTGAAAAAGGTAAAAAAAAAAAACAAAAAAAAAAACCAAGACACAGCACTGATGTGGGACCCACTGCCACATCACTAGTGGTACCTCTAATTAGAGGTCCCAAGCATTTTTCTTATATATTATAATACATCTCTTAATGTAGGTATATATTGTTTACAAATTATATATTGTTTTTTTATTTCTTTTCACGGAGTGATCAACCACCAAAAGGAAAAAATTACAAATCCTACCACTCTATATTTTTTATTTTTTTATTATTTTTTTTTTGGAACGTAGCAACAAGCGGTTATTTGGCACAATTATTATTATATATATATATATATATATATATGTATAAGGAATATGAGACTTGCATATACGTGGATAAGCAATATAAAATTAGCAACTTTTTCTACTGGTTTTTAACGAGGAAAAATTACTTATAAATCTTATTTGAAAGATTTAGGCCAAGTTTGGGATATTTCTAAAAAGTCAAAAAGTCAAAAAGTTACTCAAAAAGTTAAAAAGTTAACACTATTCACCAAAAGTCAACAATTACGGCTGCACAACTCCCAATCCTAATTTTCCCCTACAAACCAATTTTTACAATTTTTTACATATATATATATATATATATGTATAAGGAATATGAGACTTGCATATACGTGGATAAGCAATATAAAATTAGCAACTTTTTCTACTGGTTTTTAACGAGGAAAAATTACTTATAAATCTTATTTGAAAGATTTATTTAATGTGAAATTTTATGAATATTTTTTTAAAGATTGAAATTCTATTTAAATAGAAATGTATTTCATAAAGTCTTATAAGTTGTAAATGAATAATATTAGTGTACTATTATACCTCTAATTTATTTTCATATTATATCTTATTTTCTCATTCATTATAACACGTTTAGGAAGGCTATTAAGAAAGACAAGTCTACAGACAATAACAGTGTAAGTTTTTTCGCCTTAATTGTGGGATTCCAATGCATTTTCAAATTGTTGCTTAAATGGATGTGGATATGATCGATGATATGATGAAGTTTGAGGGTTGTGTGTCGATTCCTTGGACAGATTTCGACTCCAATTGGTCAAGGGGAAGAGATTTTTTTTTAAATAGGGTTGTGTGTTGTAGTTTGTTGAAGTGTAGATTGTTTATCTTTAATGGGCATTGATAATCTATTATACCTATTGATAGACATATTTTGATAATGTTCTGATTGAATGTGTGTATTTGACATTATAATAGTTAATGCGTTTTGATATGTTCGATGTGTGGAGTGGTGTGTATGGGTTCAAAGGTTAGGTTGGGAGTATTTGGTTTTGGTTCATAATTGAATATCGAATGTGAACTACGTCGTAGGATGACAATTGTACATTGGCACCTGAATGATTGTGTTACAATACATGTTACATTTAGTGTGTAACGTTAATCTACATACATCATATAGTAGATGACATTTGTGTATTTGTTTGATTGTATATGTGTTTAAATGTGTATTGTGTCTTTGTTGTAATCAGTGTTTACATACATATCGTAGTACGTTGCACAAAATTAATGGGGATTTGGGTTTGTAATTGAATGTAGATTGAACCCCATTGCTTGATGTTGAAGTTACGCTAGGTTGGAGGTGATGGTGGTTCAATACATGAGTTAGGTTGGGATGTTATATGTTACATTTAAGAGATTATATTATTCATAATTCAATAGTGAAATATTGGAACGTTACGTTGGGTTTGGGATGAAAAGTATATGGGAATGTCACAATAGATTTGGGATGTTACATGTTACATTTACGTTGGGTTTGGGATGAAAAACATATGAGAATGTCACATTAGGTTTAGGAATGTCGTATTGTGTTTGGATATTACATGTTATATTTATGTTTTGAATTTCAAATTTCCAACCAATATAAATATTATCACAATCTATGGTA